GAAGGCACAATCAAACGCAATGAAGAGCCATCTTTTCCCTGCCGAGGCCGACAATATTGTTGATTTTGTTCTGGCTGTAGCCTCCGAAGGCTTCCCTCTCAGCCACCGACGTCTAAAGGAACACATCGATGAAGTATTACGAGCACGACTTGGTCCTGAATTTCCCGGTGTTGGAAAACAGTTCACACAACGCTTTGTCGAGAAGCATTCCGACCGCTTGAAGACGGCATGGTCAACGCCACTCGAAAATAAACGGGGCCGTGCCGTGAACCATACAAACAATGATGCATGGTTTGAATTGCTGGGAGAGGAGTTGAAAGGTGTTGACGAGGACTGCATATATGCAGTTGACGAGATTGGCATTCAACCATCAGGCGGACAGAGAGAGAGGGTGATTGGTGGACAGAAAGGCGGACGTCAATATCAGCAGCGTGATGGTAGTCGCGAGAACACCACCGTTCTCGTAACTATTGTGCTGATGGCACTTCAACCGCACCAGCTGTAATCTTCAAGGGACAGGCATACCAAGTCAAATGGCAGCAGGACAATCCCGCCAACGCATCGTGAGTACAAATGAATACATGTTCCTCCTACATATATTAATAGCATTGATAGTCTGGGCTACTCTAAAAAAGGCTGGACCGATGGAGAAATTGGCGTCGAATGGATCAAGGATTTTGATCGCCAAACGTCGAGGAAAGCAAATGGCCGTCGCCGCCTCTTACTAGTTGATGGACACAATAGTCATTACACCAGGGGGTTTCTGCAATATGCACGCACTCACAATATCCGTGTCCTTTGCTACCCATCTCACACGACGCACGTATACCAAGGGCTCGACGTGGTCATATTCAGTCCACTGAAGCTATACTGGAGTGACGAAAGGGATACCTGGGAAAGGGAGAGAGGGGAGAAGGTTGATAAGAGGAACTTTCTGACAGTTTACGGAAAAGCTCATCTCCGTGCTCTCACACCCGTGAATATCAAGGCGGCATTCAGAAAGACAGGCGTATGTCCATTCAACCCGAACATTCTTCCTGAAGAGTCCTTTGCTCCGAGCCGAACCACGTCTTGCGAAAGTCACCTCCCAGTTCCACCTGCCACACCGGTACGCACTGTTGCGAAGCTGCTGCAAAAATTAAGCATCAAGGAAAGCGTTGAAGAGGCTGAAGAACCCACTGGTGCCATCGATCATGATACAACTCAAGAATCTCTGCCGGCTTCCTTCGATGAGACATTGAAAGAGCTAAACGAAACGTCACTTGCGTACCTCATCTCCAATGACATTCCACCCCCAAACTCGCCACTCGATCTCCGAGCTCGTTCTCTTATCGCAACGTCACACTGTCTTGATGGTGTTCATCCACAAACCGCGACAGAGCTAGAGCTCCTGGCTTCACTACGAGAGGTCCAGGCTGAAGCAGAGGCATTGCGACAGCGCCTGGTGTCCATGCAGGCAGCTAACGTGCTAAATGAGATGTACTGCAAAGTGCTGAGGACCCATCTGGCAAATTACGATAAGAAGAAGCAACAGGCGAAGAAATCTGGAACGCTAGTGGGGGATGGACTGCCACGGTTGTTGTCAAGTGACATGTTCTATGAGCTTGTTTGCGACCATGAAGAGAGGCAGAGGGTGGCAGAGCAAGAGAAGCGAGCTCGTAAAGCTGCTAGGGAAGCTAGATCTGAAGCTCTAGAGGTCTGGAAAAAGCAGGATGAAAAGAGAAAGCAAGCAAACAAGACGAAAACAGCACTTTACCAGACAGCATTGAAGAGATGGCAGGAGCAGAAGGCAGAGGCAAGGTCCAGGGGGGAAAAGTTCACATTAAAGAGACCTGTGAGGGGCCCACTAGCTGGTCCTATACCCAAGCCAGCAGCTACGGCAGTGGAGGATGACAACGACGACGGAGAAGGGGGATCTGATAGCGATCAGAGCGACTCCGAGTAGCTGACCAATGATGCCTGGGTACACGGGCCGGACCGTTTCAATGACTCAAAATGGTCCAGAATACCCACGCCACAATAATGCTGCGAAAACGGACTTGTACCTGCACCTTCGAGCATCCTTTCTTTACTGTATCTTGCTGTTGCATAGCATTACATATTTCTACATTCAAATATAGCCATAATTCCAAACCAATTGGAACTTACAGCGAATATTCAATTTTGCTGTTTCATTGACCGGTAAATAACTGTACATAGTAATAGGACCTCAGACACATTAGTTGTGCTTTAATATATATACAGAAGAATTATTATAAGTGGCAATCACTAAAATTTGGATGAATGTATCAATATATTAGACTAGAATGTTCAGATAATATTTTTGTGATACTTGAGGGATTTCTAGTATCTCTTAATAGGGTAGATTATTAACATAATATTACAGCTATCTTACAGTGTTTTCCAATGTTCACTGAAGCCACAAACTTTATTTATAAGGTGTATGCAGAACTATTTGAATAATACATATGTTAAAGAACAAGTAAATGATTATAAAATTCCATATTTTTAGGCTAGAATATTGAATTCTCTATGCATTGACAGTTTAAATAGCTTTAGATAGCTATTACAGTTTAAACAAACCTCTGATTATAAACACAATGATATCTCGAACTTTTATAACAAGTATAGCAAACTGAGATATGAAGTTGAATTTGTTAGATTGAATCTCGATGAGGTGTGATGTGACACATATGTCACATCACACCTCATCGGGCTCGATGCCCTCTTTGTCACATAGTGTGACATATATCACATTGAGCAGAATTTTTTGTCACAAAATTTACAAAATAATCAGTACAGCCAGATATATAGTATATAAACACTGCATATAAGAATGTCCACTGTATCTGTATATATAGAAAATATGGATACCATATATATGAGCCTGTACCATACTTTTAAAGGCTTGAAATATAAATGTACAGGCTGTGTCCGCTTCTTCCTTGTTTGCATGTGCTTGTCTCTTTCTTCCTGATATCCTCAAGTTGCGAATGCCCACTTTTCGAATTGCTCCCGATTCAAGCACCATTAAATTCAATATTGCCTCGCTGCTCGACGACCACCGAAATTTTCGCCCACAATTAGATCTTGAAGTGAGGAGGGATTGAAGTAATTTGATATGCTGGCGAACATGACCTCTGGCTCGATGTGTGTGCTACCGATTCGAGACTGTCCTTGTTTTGTTTTCACTTCTAACGTGTTGACCGGCCAGGTATCCTCAATGAGCGGCAACAAGAGCGGTATATCGACCATTGATACCAGAAAGAATGAATTCCTCGATGACTGCTCCTACCAGCCACCTTGGATCCTGCCTTGGCCCCCCAAAAGGTCATTATTCTTTGCCGCGTCTGATCATGAGGATAGGATAGGTGTAGCGTGGTCTTGAGGTCGTGGAATTTCTGCGGGTCGACAAATTCGTGTAATTTTGATTCTTCATTATGTTTCACTAGAATCTGATGATTTGGGCCTCGCATAGTGTTTACCTTGCTATTCTTCACCTCGTTCTGTCATACTAGACTCGTCGACGAGCAACAGGCACAACGCTCGGCAAGGAATTTCATCCTGCCTTCACCTCTAGCCCTACTTTTCTAATCGTGCTTATAAGCCAGAAGAAAGATCTCCTTACCTCTCGTCAAACTTGCCAAAGAAGCGGACGAAAAACAAATCGTCCAATTTTGTGAATGCAAGTCCTTTTTAGTGCACACGCTGGCCGGGACTAGAGCCGCCCCTCAATAAAGACGTCGCCCATGATCCATCACTGAAGCCATAGGGTAAGCACTAGAATCGTTACGATGATGTCGTGGACTAGATTTGTCATAGCACGTAACTGCGAAAGAAGGTCTGAACTTTCAACATGATTTCAAGCATGGAGTCTGATTGAAGAAATTCTAAACAGTGCAAACTCGACCGTGGATGTTACTCGTACATGCCGAAAGGATCACTCCCAGAAGAACTTCCATCTTCCGCCCTTCCTTCTCTACCCACTCCTTACATCCCCCCTCGCTCACTGAACCTCGCCGTCCGTTGAACCATCCATCGGTTGTTCTTCACCCGAAGAAGTATCGTCAGGACTGTCTGAGGATGATTCACTGTCCGTCGAACTCGAAGGCAACGAGTCGCTCGAAAAGGATGACGAGTCGCCTCCAGGAGGCGATGAATCACCCCCAAGAGATGAGTCGCTACTGGAGGGATCGTCGCCCAGAGGTGGTTCAGAATCAAGCCCGCCACTGCCAGGATGGCACTCGCAGGTGTACTTCTTTCCCCCTGCTGCACCTCCCTTTCCACCCAAAGTATCCGATGTTGGCCCTGAGCTGTCACTTGAACCTTTGGTGCGACGCCTCATCGATGATGATGGACCCTGGGAAGAACCTAACCCACTACCGCCGCCCTTCATGCCCTTCGGCTTGCAGGTACACGTCAGAGTCGTTTGTGATGACGAGTCCGACATGTCCATGCTCGAGTCAGAGTCTCCGCCAAGGCCCGAGCTGGGAGTACTAGTGCTACTGCTACCACTGCCGGTCTTGGTGGAAGTCGCGAGCCGCGCGGCGATGCCGTTGGCGTTCTCCATGGCGGGCATGGCGTTGGCGGCTGCGAGGCTGAGCGCGATGGCGAGGAAGGAGATTGAGATGGGCTGCATGATGGAGAGAGATTGTAAGAGTAGTGATGAAGATGAGAGAAGTGCTTTGTTGTCTATCCCTGGCCGGCAGGGAAGAGGTGAACGTCAAGTTGGAGTATTGTGCTGCATGGAAGGGCCTTTTATATGACTTCGACCGGACGACGATGGATGGCGGCGGTGCGGCAGGGCATGGAGAGCGCCATCAGCAACCGTGCTGCTATCGTGATAGGTGTACTGCATCATGATCGTCCCTCTGATGCAACGCGGAGATATCATTGCATATATGCCGTCAGTAATTCATTACACTGGCGTCGCTCAATTATTCTTTACTCATGATACATCTACAGACCAAATAAAACACTTAAGAGGCCAACACTTTCTCCCTCGATGTCGCTCCTCCACACTACGACTTTCCATGCGCTCCGTAACAACTAAGCATGATGATCACCGCCCGGCTCTCCGGCCATAGCCTCGATCTATCATTAGCTTCTGTTATTTCATCTCCTGGTGTTAAGTTCCCAAGTGAACTACAGTACAAGAATACTAGGGCCAACCAGCTCTTTGACACCGGTCGACCTGCATTCACGCGCTGTTTAGCTATGCCGTGCTGAGAAGCTACATGCCACACCCTTACCTCACTCTACGTGCGAGACGCCTATGTTCAAGACCTATCTCGTCAACTCATGGTTCACATGTTCACGACATCATGCCAGTCCGCTAGGTACGTAAACTTTGTGATTTCACGATATACACAACTGAACTATCTATCATAGATCCTCTCCTCTCATTCATGCCGGCGTCTTGATGGGCACCCCGATATGTGTCCTGATAGCGTCGCTGCTCGACTTGGGTGTACACGTACAAGTGTACTCCTCACCCGTTCCCCCATCTGAGTCTAGCGCTCTTCCTGTAACTGACGGCAATGCGGTGTATGAAGTGCCCAGGATGGTACTGTCACCCGTGTTGGTACCGTGGGGGGTGATTGTAGTAGAGTCAATCTTCGTCGAGCTAGTAGCACCCTGCCTCCCCCCCAGCCTGGCTGCGCCCACCGAGATGGCGAGCACTGAAATGAAGAAAGGGTTCGTAAAGTGCATTGGTGGTGTTAAGTTTCTGACCAGCAGAGAGTGTATGGTTTGCTGGAGACGGACGCCTTGCATGAGCCTTTATACGTTTGACAGATGTAGGGTGGGAAGCGTTGGCTTGGGGTCGCTTCTTCCATCCGTTTCTACGATAAGGCTGTGCAGGACGCATAACCATCACCTCAGTTGATGTCTGTTGTATTTTGAGGAGGTGGTCTCTACAAATAACACGTCTCTACGCACTGGGACTTGGGTATATTTGGACGGTCGTTGCATGGAGATTTTACGTTCGCAAGGGTTACGAAGAAAACGTTGTAACTGGACGAGCGTTCGCTTATGCACTTTTAACGCCCGCCATTAGGCGAGACGGGGCATCTATTCCCTTCCCCTGGTTGACTGGGCGGGGCTCGATGAAAGAAGGCTCGGATGATAGATCGTCTGCAAGGGTACGTATCCTTATATCTATTCCACTTAAGTATCCCACTCTGACTGGTAGCGTGTAGCCTGGAATGAACATCGAAAGCCTTTGGGTACAACCATCAAGTTTTTGAGCGAGGAAGAGATCGATTAATTACATTCGAGCCTTGGGAGTTTTCGTTGATTCTCCGTGTACTTTGCATGCAGTTTCTGCAACAATGCATATCCAATGTGAACGTTTCATCTAGTGGTCTTCAATGTCTGCCTCAGGTTGCTGAAGTGGCCACATTCAAGACATAACTGGTTCAACGAACAGAAGGAAGCCTCACCTTTCCTCAAGGAGGTTTCGACATCTCTACACGCAACAGTCGGGACTCGCGTCTCGTTATTTCCAGGGTCCACTCGTACACACATTGCACAACCTGAATAACAAAAGTTAAATAACTTGAATTGACGACTGAGGATTGGGAAATGGGCATTGGGCAATCTTGGGAGGAAAAAAAAACCTTCAAAATTCCAAGCTCATATGGGTCGACCCAGGATCGAACTGAGGACCTTCCGTGTGTACAACAATTGAGGAAATTGTGAGACGGATGCGATAACCAACTTCGCCATCGACCCCAACAATTTAATATCTGAACGTGGCATCCCGATCTGGAGTATCCGATTAAACCGATGTCGCCACACAAGCACGTGAAAATATTTCTCATTTCTGTCATCCATGGCGCGAATTGCTGTGATTTCTTGGAGGCATTACTCATCTCGTCTGCGCCTATTATAACTACACTCGGGAACGGAATGGTTTTAACATATCAGCCATGCCAACCGAAATCGCTACCTTCGCCTCAGGATGCTTCTGGGGTGTTCAGCATATCTTCCTCAAGCACTATCCTGAGGGCAAAGGAATAATCAACACCACCGTGGGCTACACTGGTGGCAAAGCAGACGCGACGAGCCCGGACTACAAGACTGTCTGTACAGGCTCGACGGACCACGCAGAAGCGGTCAAGATAGAGTTTGATCCGGCAGTGGTGGGGTATGATGAGCTCGTTGGTGCGTCGCCATCCTTCTTACTGCCAAACGTAAGCTAACATAGATAACAGAGTTTTTCTACCGCACCCACGACCCAACGACTTTGAACAGCCAAGGCAAAGGACACCGGTACACGTCCGTCGTTCATTTCATCCCTGCCGCATCTCCTCATATCCCAGTAGAATATCGTTCCGCCATCTTTACACGTTCTCCCGACCAAGCGGCTGTTGCCAGACGTGTGACGGAAGAGGTGCAGGAGCAGAAACACTTTACACCGTCAGGAAGGAAGATCGTCACCGAGAATCGTCGAGGCCGGACCTTGGTGGGAACGCGGAGGAGTACCACCAGCTGTATCTGTTCAAGAACCCCGATGGGTATCAGTGCCCGAATCATCGTTTGCATTGGTAGAAGCACGATACTTCCAGACAGATTGTACAGGGCATGTCTTCCTCTTGACATCACATGAATAATCCCATTTTCGCTACCTGTACCTGCTCTACCATCCCTTTCAAAGTATCACAGTAAATGTCCGAAGCTGCCGACTCCTCTCAAAAGTGAATCTCAGGGCGAAGAGATTTTTTTTGTGTTTGCAGACACGCTCAGCCCGCTCGCTATCTTCGGTGAACACGCTGATAAGATTGTTCCTTTGTCTGTAATTGAGCGAACAACAAGGTTGAAAACTCGTAGATAAGCGACACTGAAGTGCACGAAAGTCCGGCAGAACCCGACCCGGTCACCTTGGATCGGAGACCAAAATGTCTGGACTCCGACCACCACGCTCAGTGACAGCCGCTCTTGACCAGTGGCTCAAGCGCTCAAACTTGAAGCTTGAAGAGTCAATGACCATCAACGGCATAGATTCTGTAGTCACCCCAGTTTTGCCTACTTTTATACTAGAACAGGCAGCAGGCAGCGAGGCCCAACAGATGAGCACTTGGGCAGTCATTCCATTGTTCTGGGTGGATCGATATCTGTACGTACGGTATGCATATGTTTGTGGAAATTGACGATGCAATATCACCACTGTCAAAACGCTGTAGCATTTTCTTCCTGCTCTTCCTCTAGAGGAAATAGATGACCCCTTCATCTTACTGTGATGAAGGAGCCGTCAGATCTTGTGTTGGATTCGTCACATCGGGATTCGGCATGCATCGCTACATCTTGCGGATGTTTGAACGTATGAACTCTCATGATGTATAGGCAGATATCAAGGGGAACTCGGAGACAGCCGCCAGGCTATAATTTAGTGAGTCGTTTTAATCGTTGATGCTTGTACACAGGATTAAGTTGTATCATCAAGGAACTCAATTCGCTCGCTTCCAAGTCCATAAGTGGCAGCGTCTAGTAGTAATCCACACGTTACTTCTGGCCTCGTTACCGGTGCTTGCTAATATGTTGACTTCCTTTGAGACCTGGCCTCAACAGCTTTGGCGGACACGGTGAACATAAGCGACTGAAGAGTTTTGACAGTCACGGAACACAGCAAGATGATCAATGTCCTCCCAACCATCTCTCTGATATTCCCATTCTGGTCTGCATATATAAACATGACGGACGAGCATTTGTCACTGGATCGCCCATTCTGTCGTTCCGTCATTCCTTGCTCTCCGCCTTCACGTTCCCTATTTCTCACATCCGACGTTTGGCACACTGTTTCTTCTCATCTTTGTTCAAGGGCCGATGTATGGCTTGCTCTTGTTTATACTGTGGGTCCTTCAACGTCTGCGCTAAAGATATTTTCTCTCACCCTTGTGCCTCTCATGCAGATCCGCTGCAATCAGGTCATTTGGGCTCAAAATCACCAACTCCGTCCCTGACAATGTGCGGACGGGCGAAACCGTTTCCGCATTTCTGGCCCACTTCGACGGTGATCCAGCCGACTTTTACCTAACCATGTCTTGCACAAGCGGCGGGAAGACAACTAAGTCTGTCTCGAACGTCGCCAATTTCACGTCCGACGCCACTGAAGATATATCTATCGTTTCTTTAGGGTGGGTCCCGTAAGCGTTGTGCCTGCTGCCTCTGATATATTTGGTACAGGAACTGCATCATTAGTGCACTCCTTCATTCCGAGTACGTCATAATCATTTGCTTCTACTGCTTGCTGACATGACTGACACGATGCTACGTTCAGGCCTCAGGCGGACACGCTCATCGCCGAGAGCGAACCTTTCAATCTTCGGGAAAGTACTTCCGAATCACAGCCTTCTCCAACCAGTGCACCAGCGGATCAGTGAGTCTTTCCAATCCACCCGTTGATGCTGGTTTGACTGTCTTGATTCCAGGATATATTTCATCGTGCAGATGATCAATCTCGGGCTGGGTGCGACGTCTTTCCTCGGCGTCCTAGGAATCATTCTATATCTATTTCTCCAGCGTACGCGGGCTACGCCAAGGAATAGGCTAAATACGAAACCGTCTTCCATCAGTGATCCAGTCATCATACCACCTCCCGATCAACGCCTCACCTTTACACCGCCTAAAACAATGGAATCAAACAGAGCAGTCAGGAACTTCTCACTAATATCCAGAAGAACGGCAGACGTTCCCACTGGCGTACAGAGTTTAGGAGCGTCGGACCCATCACAGTATTCTACGACTACGAGCGAGAATCTGACTCTCCTCGCCTTCCCTCTCCCACCCGCTGCTAGGCAGACGGAGCTGCAAGAATTTGTCGCGCGTCTGAGACGCGAGGTTTCGTTGCGGAGCACGAAATTCAGCTTGGAGGAGAGGCGGGCTGCTAGCGAGGAGCGGCTGCACAAACAGATTGCTGGGATGCAAAGTGAGATATCGTATCTGACGGCACAGCTGGACTTGGCATGGGCGATGGGGTTTGGTCAGGCGGCGCCGTCGGCTGATAGTGGTAGTAGGAGGTCAGCGGAGAGTGGGACATTATCGGTGCATTCTCGTGTGCCGCAAGCTTCTAATGTAACTTCGTGACGGTTTTTTATATGTATCATTTGTACTGCATACACATAATGTTGGGGAACAGGAGCTCTCGTTACTATACATATAATGCAAATAGAAAAATACTGAGACGGATGCTCTCTTACAAGGCCTGCTCATGAAGGAGAGTTAGCGGATTTCTGGTTCTTAAGTACAGTGGTCAGGAACATCTCAATCGTGTTCCAATAATGTGGCTCAACTGCGCTAGGTTCTATAGCCAGATCATCAGTACATAGTCGACACGAGATACAAGTCGAAGACCTACCATGTCCTCCCGAAGGGAAAGACTTGAATGTATCCAAGTCGCCAGATGAACGTAGTTCCCACAGTTTCTTCATATGCGCTTCGGGAACAACTGGATCTCTCTGTCCGCTGAGCATGAGAAGCGGCAGCGTCCCAGGTATAGATGATATCTTGGACTCGGAATCCCATTTCTGGTGCACGATGAAAGCAAAGTAGCGGAGGACGCTCCAGCCTCGGACGATGCTAGGTATGGAGAGAAATGTATTCTCCACAATGAGGGCGAATACCTGCATTGACGGTTGAGTTGGAGGGGTCGACAATGTTTTGAAGCGTACCTTGGTAGGATTTCGGCTAACGAGGTCGATGGCTACGGCTCCGCCCAATGAGTGACCGTATACAATCTTTGGGGTGCATCGTGAACTTCTGCACTACAGTCGCAGGTGAAAGATGCGTACAATCGGTACCTGGGAGAGCTGCTGGTCAGCCAACGCATAATCAAGCGCCGCCTGTGCATCGTCTCTCAGACCTAAATTATTGCATTCAGTTCATGGGAAAATTTTGGGGAAGCTTGGCCGTATTTACCTTTCTCAGAAGGAAAACCATCGGAGGTTCCATATCTTTTGAAGAATGAAAACATGATACTTGGAATAAGATAATCGTAGCACTTACCCTCGGTACGAAACCAACAGAACGTTACACCGTCTCGCATGAAATTCATGAGCGAGAAAAGCACAATCCCACCAATGGCACGCATTTCCATGGAAGAGAATGACCGTGGCGAGCGGAGGCTGAATAGCTGAAAGTAAGTTAGGCTCCAGAGCACGGAAGAATGCCTACCAAATCTGAATCCGAATCCGAATCCGAGCCATCGTGGCCATGTAAAAATAGAGCACACCTCAGAACAACATTGTCGGCAGTCGTCATCTCTACACGCGTTATCCTGTCCGACTGCCCGTTGCTCGCGACCTTGTTCCAGAACCAGTCGTAGCATTGACCTGACGGAATGTCAAAGGGAGGGGTGTTTAGGATGAGGACAGAGCGTACGTCGTTCGTTCTTTGGGTCGAAGGCAGCTGGGTAGACGCAAGCGTATTGACCATGTAAGAGGATCTGCTTGCGAATTAGAGAACGGGTAGACGATAGAAATTAAATCTTGGGCATACAGTTTTTAAGATATGAAAGAAAGACATTGAAGGCAGGCAAGAGGTTGAGATGTGTACGCGTCAGGTAGATATACAATGAAAGGTAGACACGCGCTTTCAGCGTGCCTGGGAATTTAAGAATAATACGTCGGCCTGTAACGTTTACAGCAGGGGCCTTTATCAAACTTTGCACATACATGCAGATAACATCCATTACGTTTCGTCGCGTGTAAGGGGGCCAGAAAAAAAAAGGTGGGGTGATTCATAGCGTGCTGTTATCGTGCTGTTGAAGACGCCCAAGGAGAGGGGGAAGGAAAGGCTGTGTATACAGCCCATTAGCCTCGAGGTGGAATTCTAATCGCGTGAATCAGTGGATTGACACGATTAGCAGGAGATCTGAAATGAACCTTGCAGCAAACGCTATGGTTATTACAGGATCAGCAACTCTCGACCCATTGACGAAGCGAGTACGAAGCGGTGGGGACAGTGGTTCAGGATCAAGTACAATTCGAACTCCGATTCCGTCGGATTCTTAACAGTGTACGTGCACTTAATCCAAAAGTGGTGGGCCGCCACGGGGCATTCCAGCAGCTGCCTTCAACATCAAAATGCTCCGCGGCCCGCCACCGAAATCGTCAGCACAGCTGCCACAACGATTGCAATCAAGACCGAGACCTGTATACGCAGAACTCGGAATACTTAGTACGGAGCAACGGTGACTTGCACTGCCATTTATTGGTCTTTCGTATCTTCTTTCAATGCTTGGGACCTCGCTACGTTTGCCTCAAGTTCGACTGCCTGCTTTATCTTGTCTGCTTTCTATTCTCCTTCAGCTCTTTTCGCGTGTGCCACAGTCAAAGGGATCGCCTCAACAACTTACGCCTTGTTTCCTCTCATCCCTTCTAGTTATTATGGGACTCGCAGGCAAGGTTGGTTCTTCGAGGTGAATAGAACTAGCGCCTCCTCGTGGATGTGATGCGTATGACGCGTATCTATGACGAACTCTTGACGACGACGTTCGCCAATTTACGTCCATGGGTGATCATCGTCATCGATCTGTCCCCGCGGAGGATCGTCGACGCCTTCCATTTACAGCCACCTTCCTTTACCTTGTATCACCACTACTACTCCTGCACTGTACGACGCCCTACCTGCAGGAGAGAAGCTCTTCGTGACTTACATTCCTTCAAGTTTCCAACCATGCGTTGGACAGTCGTTCTTTCAATTCTCTCGTTTCTATCAGCTGGACCGGTGCAAGTTTCGGCAATGCAAAAAGCTGGGCTAGCACTTCCAGATCCTGTATTGGCCTCGAAATACCGCGACTTGGTCAAGGACATTTTCAGGACGAGCTACGCCGCTTATAAGTGATTTCATTTTATCTTCGCACATTCGTATTGCTCATATCATAGGCAATACGCGTGGGGCCATGATAATCTCGCTTCTAAAAGCCGGTCGTATTCTGACGCTCGGAATGGCTGGGGTGCTTCCATTATCGACGCTATGAGCACTATGGTGCGTGGTTGTCTCGCTGAACTCTGCTTGCCTCCAGATTATTAATCACCTATGCAGTATGTTATGGACCTGGGTGTATGCGCGCATATTTTCCCTCGCCTCAAGCCCCTTTGAGCCAATATACAGGACCTCCTCAACGATGCTATTGCCTACGTTGGTACCGTCAATTTTCGCTCATCAAAGACTTTGGATCACGTCAGGTATATCGTAGGCTTTTATAGCATCTTCGAGACGACAATACGGTATCTTGGGGGCATTCTTAGCGTTTATGAACTCCGGGGATCCAAGGATAAGGTGCTTCTTAAGCAGGCTGTCGACCTTGGCGATAAGATGGCCTATCCCTGGGTCGGGGTGAGTGACACACTTCTTTTGCGGATAGGTATATTCATTTTGGTCTCGTAGGACAATAACCTACCTTTTGGTACAATTGATTTCACGTCAGACAAGCCTGATGTCGATACGGCAAGTGTTTTTATTCTGTTTTCTTAATGTTTCCACTGATCTCCAATCATATAGACGAACATCGCTGAAGCTGGTACAGTACGTGTTTGATGATCATGTCCTTCTGTGCTTGTTGATCTCACGATATGATCTTAGTTACTCATGGAATGGGCTACGTTAAGCGCATATACCGGCAACGACACATACCGCAAACTGGCCGACAAAGCCATACGCCATATAGCGGGTCAGGTGAGCCCGCTTTTTATTCAATGATACACGGCTCCTGATGCCGTTCTGCTTCCAGGACGCTCCCTTCCCCGGTTGTTCTTTACCCTCAAATTTATCAATACATCGCCTGACAGCGAACAGGTCTCGCTGCGCAAATTATCGATCCGTCTTCAGGAAAATTTGTAGGGGGATACGTCGTCAGTCTATCCATGTTCTCTTTTTTACAAAACGCTGAAGAAGAATACGAGACATAGGGCGGCGGTTCTGACAGCTACCTCGAATACCTGCTCAAGTATGCACAACTTGCGGACCCCGAAGATCGTCTTTATATTGATACCTGGGCAACGGCTGTAGATTCTTCTATCCAGTATCTATTATCGGTGGGGTTCTGCTGGTTGCGGGGCTAAACTCGATGTCAAGTTCATGGTACACAACAGCGTTCCACTGTTGGCAATCATCTTTACACTCGTGATTATGATGCGTCATCGAAGACATTTTACGACGTCGGCTCACATTTGGCTTGTTTTCATGCTGGCAACTGGTTGTACGGTGAATTTTTTATACCATGCTTCTCCATTATATCATATACTGACATTATGCGAGGCGGAACTATCCTTCAAAATCAGACTATTGTAAATACTGCCCTGGAACTACTGGATGGATGTTGGAATACGTACGCCAGCACAGAGTACGTATTTCCTAATACACGCCTTGAGCCGCACTTATCATGATACGCTACATCGACAGGACAGGGATAGGGCCTGAAGCCTTCGCTTACATCACTCCCGAACAGAGCGACAGATCACTCTCATCGAATCAACGGTTGTTTTACGATAAACATGGGTTCTACATCACATCCTCTTCCTATATCCTTAGACCAGAAGTCCTCGAATCAAACTTCTATGCTTGGAGAATAACCGGAGATTCCAAGTATCTTGATCGGGTGGCCAAAGCAGTCGACAATTTCCAGAAATACCTGCGAACAGACGTTGCATACGATGGTATCTACAACGTGGATGACCAGACGCCGACCATGGTTAACAATATGGAGAGTTTCTGGTTTGCGGAGGTGTTGAAGTATCTGTGGGTCCCTTTCTGTTTCCTTTAGAAACGCGGAAGACTGATTACCTCGTCGAAGGTATCTGACGTTTGATGATCCTACAAACATGAGCATCGACGATTGTTAGCATTTCTTTTTCGTGTTTTTGGGCGCGCGCCTGACTGGTTATGTTCAGATGTTTTCAATACCGAAGCGCATCCGTTCAGAAAGTTCAAGTCGGATGGACATTAGTTGGTCACCGATAACTCTGTGATGTTCAAGGGTACTAGTAGGGAAAGCCTTGATATCGGCTGTTTGTCACAACTCTATCATACATTTATCATGGTAGCATTATGATTTGAACATTCTATAGGTCGTTATTCTTATCTACAACTTCTATCAATAGTGTAAGCCCGACATCGAATAACCGCCGCTCCGTGGTACAAGGATTATAATGCACGTATCACCGGCATTTAGCTAGTCCGAACCCGTGGGTCCTGCATTTGTGCAAAATACGAAAGTTTTGCGACAAGCCAGAAGTATCTTGATCCGTGTTCTCTGAAGGAGGTCCATTCGTCGCGATCAGGATAATCTCGGACATCTAATAATTGGGCGAGTTATTGTGTTTCTGCCGAACGCTTACGCGCCGAACTCCTACATGGGTCTTTTGGTGAGCTAGAAGCGTGTCATTGCGATAGCTATTAACTATGGACACGACATGGTCTACGGGTCGATGGCGTAGTTGGTTATCGCATCTGTCTAACACACAGAAGGTCCTCAGTTCGAACCTGGGTCGACTCATTTTGTTTAGAAGTACTTCTTTTTGTCGTCATTGTAGAATGAGAAACTGGAATTTTATATCTATTTTTGGACTATGCGCGGTACAGGTACGAATGCCAAAAAGTAGTGGCATACACAACCGGAGTTAAGAGATCTTGTTAACTGAACTTCCCTCAGACAATCATTTCAGATGATTTATGTAGTCTGTCAGCGTACACTTTACCGACCAATCTTACTTTCTGCAGGTAGTTTAGTATACAGACTCAAGTCCCAGTCACCCTTCGAGCACTTGGATAAAAAGATGTACATTTTCGTATCATAGGTCTACAATAGCGCAAGAGTTTCGAGTGTAGTAGCTTCTGGTTCGATTCCAGTCGTCTACGATGATGGGGTTGCAAGTAAGACATCCTTCTTTTTCAGGAGGGCACCCATCAGTTCCAAGTAAGAGATGGCAAGGGCGACAGAAGACGTACAGTACGGAGCAGTGTTCGATCAGGCGCTCGTACCAGTGGTGTGGTGAAAGGCCGAAGGAAAGCATCGGCACTCATCGACATCACGAGCATAGTTGCCCCAAGAAGCCGATGAATGAGAAAGAAATAACAAATTGTAGAATGTAGCTGAAGATAGGGCAGGAGATCCGCTGTCAGTGTTAGGTCCAAATGGAGGTCGACACCAGCTAGTGTTTCGGTCACAGGCTACTCGTTGTTGGCATCAGGACTTGAGTCGGTATCGCAGCAAAGAACAACGCACCTTAACAGTCTCAGTTGCATATGAACATGCCTGCTCTTATCCCTCCTGTATGTCTGTAACTTGAATTCCTGACAAAGGGTCCCGTTTCGCGTGTCGTAAACTAGATCCCTTGGCAGTGGTTCACTGGAGAAGCAGCATGATACTACGGCATGGTTGTAATAGTTATAGCTGCTGCTCTATTTTGTTCATTTATCTTGCCTGAAAAGGTGTCCCTGCTATAAGCATCAATGCGAGTACCATAGGAAATCGATACGAGCTCACCCAAGAGACCGGCACCATCGGTATGCTCGTGCTGACTGACCACAATCTCCCGGGACGTTCATCTCGGTACCTCTCCTAGGTTGGTGAACTGACGAGTGGAGGCGTTGGAGACCGTGACCGTATCTGGTAAATGGTGATGTGGTACGCTGGTGTTGGTGTTGGTGGTGTCGGAGTTTGAAACGCGCTTTGACTCTAACATCGTCTACCAGTACTCCAGTGCCGATGCCCTCTTCTCTCTCTATTCATCCTCGAAACTACGGAGACCGTCGGATTGGAGGAACTCCTCAAACGAGTACTGGAGTCCAAGAACGCGATTGCGACCACAGGAATCCCAGCTTCAACTGGCAATAAGATCAAAGAGACGAAAGACAATATTATGCGAAACATTGGGCAAAGACGCTAGTACGTCTCTGTACTATATACCTCTTCTATGTGCCTCGTATTTACGCTGTTTTAGACGCGCATACCCTCACCTTGGATAATTCAACGACAGTTTAATGTACACGGATCCGTATTCAACACACCGTGAACATGGCAGATCTCAGTATAGCTACGGTGATGTTGTTCTCTGGACGAGTAGATCACAGGTAGAGGTATAGGACTGTAAGCCTTGTGGTGCTCTTTGTATCTATTACTTAGTTAACTTTTGATAGATGTTTTCTGATTGCTAAGGCATTCGCTACAAACGGAGTCGAAGCACATGTCAATGGACGAAGGCTGGATGCGCTAGCGCAAGCTGCCGCGTCAGTTGCAGGCATCTCAGGATCTATTGTCCTTCCTTCCCCATGGCGCTACGCCCTGATGCGCCTCCGCAATCCAGGTGAATGCCGCTGGCTAAGAATGCATCAGGGCTGGTGCAAAGCACACTAGAGGAATTGATGGTAAGCTCCATATTTTGTCATCAAGTTCGTCTGTGATATCCTCTATTCATATCATCTATACTGATGTCTTCTTAGTGCCGGGTATCCTGGGTTCCGCGATCCAAGTACTGAATGGGTGGATTTCCATCTTCCTCCCCCTTCCCTCGTTTCAGCATTCTCCTGGGTGCGTGGGATATCTAAAAAGGCTTTCATATATCGGGAATTGACTCCATTTCGCACATCTCAACTCACGTCACGCGTGGGAGACATTAATTCTTCAACTCACTTGAGGCCAATTATCCTGAACTTGCGAGCCAGATCTAAATATATAAATGCCGAACATCGGAGACATAGCATGCCATTGATCTTCTTCCTGAACCTGACGTTATTTCGTTGCTTGACGTTCAGGACCTGTTCTCTAACGCGCTTTTACATTTCTCAATACAGAGGAACGTGTTTGATCTGTATCTATCCGGAGTCTCATATGACCGCTCGCGGATGCCAAGTGTACTTCACTCTTAAGGGCACTGGCGCGCGCGCGCGCATCTCAAGCATGGGTTCCTGGGACAGAATATGAGCTAGTTCATCATCAGAGCATCTCGTCCTATCCCGTACATGGCACTGTAAAATCAACACAGGTTTGGTTGAGTGGCGCGAGCCCGAAAACGAGAGGATTGTTCCGTAAGGCACCCAGGGCTTTCCACTTTCTTCGATCTATAGGATTCTACAAGTCCGTGGGAGCACCGGGCGGTTAATATTGTTCTCCGAACGAAAACAGTTGACATGCGGACCTGACGGAAGAGATGTCACCATATGTCTGAACCTCGTTCTATAAATCAGAACCCTTCAGCACTTCGAATCGTGAACTGTGAAACGAGCCCTACTCACCAATGTCCCTCTTCTCCTTAGCATTCGCTTCCATCCTCGCAGTCGCTTTGCTTCGCTGGTGGTTAAAACGCATTTCTGTTAAACATGTCGAGGGACCACCGTCTGCCTCTTTCTGGCTAGGTAAGTGTCAATGCTATGTTATCTAGCTTAAACCGTTGAATCAAACATCGTATGCCAGGCCATGAGCTTGTCCTTCGCAGTCAAGATGAATTTGGCGATCTCGAAACGAAATGGCGCAGTGAGTATGGCACCATCTACCGCATTAGAGGTTGTTTTGGTGTAAGCTTGCCCTCAACTCCTTCACTTCATACCAGCTGAAATCAATGGTGGCACCTAGCAAGACCTTCTGGTAGTATCCGACCCCAAGGCCTTCGAACACATTTTCCATACCTCACGTCCTTATCCCAAGACTTCGGACACAAACTTTATCTTTGGTCTCATCCTTGGAGGGACCGAAGGGCTCATTGTAGTCGAAAGTGAACGAGTTTCGTATTGATACCAACGCTATCTTACGCTTACATGTTTGTTTAGAGGATGTCCATCGTCGACAACGCAAGATCCTGAATCCGGCGTTCTCTCCTGCTAATCTGCGGGATTATCAGGTTATATTCCAACGGTGCAGCGATAAGGCGAGTCTATTTATGTATTGATCGACGACTTGATCGTGATCATCTGTTAGGTTGTAAACGCCATGAAAATCTCTACCGGTACTGGCGAAAAAATCGACGTTGTCGATTGGATGGGCAAGGTCTCGCTTGATATAATCGGCCTAAGCAAGTGGTATCAACGGTTTTTATACGCAAGCTGGTCTAATATCCAACAGGTGCTTTTCGATACGATTTCGGATCACTGGACGGTCAAGATACTGAGTTGGGGGAAGCGATGAAGCACCTATTGTATGCAGATTCGATCTTCTCGATCTTGACGGCGAATATATCTAACATTCAAATACAGCACGGCCTCGCAGTCCGATCCATCCGCTCTAGAACTCATGGTTGTAGCCCTGATACGAATGCTTCCGCATTCCGTGTTGAAGATTCTCAAGTTGTGTCAGACCCGAGAAACTCGCCAGCTGGCCAGTGTAGGAGAAACAGCAAGAAAGATTGCTCGAGAGATCTTGGCTGCCCAAGCTAAACTCGGGGTGCAGGATGAGTTGGATAAGGACATTGTTGATATTCTAAGTGAGTCGGAAGACTTGGTCTATCCGAAATCGTTGTTCATGCTCTTGGTTTAGCGAGGGCACGTCTTACCGGACAAATGTCGGATGATGAAATTGAGCTCCAGTTTATGTTCGTCGCCTTTCCTTCTAGTTACTAGTACCCGTCTGATGGCGACTGTTCTTCCCTTAGGACGTTTCTAATTGCCGGGCATGAGACAACAAGCGCGACCCTGTCCTGGTTGCTGTACGAACTCGCCGCACATCCCGAGCACCAATCCATAATACGCGAAGAAGTAAAGCACTCATATCACAATGACTATGATTCTCTGCCATTTTTGAACGCTGCAATCAAAGTGAGTGTGCCAGCCTCTTTCCCGACGTCCATGAATTTACGATCCTCTGGTTGTAGGAAGTTCTTCGGTTTCATCCCATGGTGCATGCACCTATGCGTACTGCTCCTTATGACGACATTTTGCCTCTTTCGGGGTCTAAGACACTGACAATTCCCAAGGGACAGACACTTCTTTGTTCCGTGTACTCGTACAACCGGTACGTTTGTCCTATCCCGCTTCGCCGTGAAGTTATCGCCAACTTTTCTAAGTCTGCCGTCCATCTGGGGTGATGACGCAGAAAAATGGAATCCATCTCGATTCCTCGAGAAGAGTATCCCTGTGTCATTGGGAGTCTATGCCAATTTGTAAGTACCATCAGATATTTTTAATCTATTAGTTCCCTAATTTGAGATCCAGGATGACGTTCAGTAAGCCATTCTTCAATATACTCACATCGGCTCATTCACGCTATGCTTAGGTAGTGGCTCTCGTTCGTGCATCGGGTGATTATTGACTTGAAAGCTATCTTTCTCGATAAACATCTACTGACCTAACTTTTTGCTCATAAATAGGTGGCGATTTGCGTGCGTTTTTGCTTCCATCATAATCAGTTCCATACAATTCACTCATCTCTAATTACAGTGTCATGGAGATGCAAACAATTCTAGCGAACCTCATTCAAAACTTTGAATTCAGTTTGCCGGAGGGCACGGTAATACAGCAGTTCCCTGGCTCACAGGCGATTGTGCCTGTCGTGAAAGGTGAAGCGCATCTGGGTTCTCGGGTTCCTTTAAGGATTAGAAGTTTGGAGTAGCTGACGCGCTCACTCTATCCGAGTATAGATAGACCCCAATAAATAGCCTCATCTCCGATCCATACGAACCTGGCGGGTGGTTGTTGTGAGAATCTATACATTGACAATCGTCAGCTCCAAGCAAAAGACGGCCAGGACTACGGCCCGAAGTGTCGCGATACAGCAGTACAACGCAATAATTATAGCTGCCTCTTCTCGCTGCGATCGGACGCCGGTTGAAAGGTCAAGACAACGTTGGATCTTCCGGTGATAAGGGTAATTTTGAAGAAAACGGCACTTGTAGAGCTACAGGCCGTTGGCATCAGGATTTCGAGTCGATATCACAGCAAACAATAAAATACCTCGATGATCTCGGCTGCATATGGATGTACCCAGCCTTATCCTTCTTGTACATCCGTGATCTGAATTCCTGATCTACCAAATCCTCTCGGGGGTCCCGTTTCGCGTATCGTAAGCCAGATCCTTCGGGTCCTGGGTCGCTGGAGAAGCAGCAACCTGTGAAGTGTTAGCAGCCTGGTTGTAATAGTCATGGGGTGGACAGACAACAACAAGAGATAAGGTAGGCGAAGCCCATAGCGACATCACCCATGTTGGTGTTGGTGCTGGGCCAGGGCTGGTCGAGTTGGAAAAGAGGGTGGCAGTGCACGTGATGCACCTTACGTACGAAAATAAATCATCGCGTTCAACTTCCTTCACGTACCACCATCAACGCTAATACCGTTATCATTATAATGAAGTAGATTATTGGCGACAGAGTGCTAATGTTAAAACTATGGTACGTATGCTGGGGCCTAGCACAGAGAGAGCCAAATGTCTAATTTCAATTTCGCGTTGTTCTCACCGCATTACAGGGTCTCCTATTCGACGCGCTGTTATCATATCTCTTGATACATTCTTCTCAATCTAACAAGAACGTTTCTCAAACTCAGCGTTGCTTCTCGGGTTCACGTGGCCATGGGCTATCCAGAAACGGGTACCGGCTGTTGTTCCCTTGTACCCATCCAAGAGGGTGAAGGTCAATGGCGAGGTGGCGAGGTTCGTTACTGGTACCTGCAGTGGCACGGTGTTACTACCAGTTTCCTCCGGCACAGTTGCATCACCCCTACCTTCATCAGTCCAGGCTTCTGCTTGACGTTCCTGGCCACACTGTGATCGCTCTGTTCCATTTTCCTGGGAAAATTTTGACTGTCTAGCTGAACTCGTATGTTAGTATCGCGAGACGCCGTCGGACACCGATCAATGCAAATAGAGAGTCCCAGGGGAAAACATGGTTCTTGAACGAATGTGGAATCAGAATGAAGGCAACACCCAATTCCTTCCTTATTGTCTCACACAACGTCGTTGGTCTGGCTACCGGTACCGTTGTTAAGACGCACACTGTTCCTTTTCTCCTGACGCGGAAAGCTTCCAACCATCCCCATTCCCGCTGGCCTATATTGTATTAGCAGCGCTGTTGCAAAAATTATGGACTGCCATACAACAACAATAGAAAACAAGGTCCATGCAGATCTCATTTTGGGAAAATGAATGTTTGAAGCCAAGAGGCGCGCTAGCCGTATTCCTCCCTCCCCCATCATCGGCAAAAGAGTATGACATTCTTCCATGCATTGTTACCATTACGGCGAATAAACACATTTTGCGATATCAGAGGGCTGACACAAATTTGTGAGTATATATTAGCGTCAAATATAGCGATACCTACCTAACCTATATTGTAGGGCCTGTCCACTTCTTCCGTTTGGAAGATACTATCGTCTTGCATCTGACGCGGTCGCTATCATATCTCCTGTCGGTATGGTTCTTCCAGCATGCTTGATGCAGTTACAGTGTTTGCATCGCGACTTTCGGGGAGACGAGTCTAGCTTGTGGTGGAATACATGGCTATCGTGCCTCTCGATTCATTCTTGGGCTAGCATGTGAGAAACCGATCGCAAGGAGATGGTTTTGGCGTTAGCTTGAAAACCTTTCCCAACTACAGTTTGTCGGATAATGCCGTGTCCACAATCATGACATTGAATGTCTCAGCGCGTCAAAGTTGTTCTCCGGTATATTCGCGTGTAGTATGGAGAGCCATGCACTGGTTCCTTCTGCTCAAAGTCCGCCAGCTCTTCGGAATCCGCGAGTCATGGTCGATACTTCATGATACGAGCGACCCGGAGTATGCGCTGTTACTCTCTGATGACCTTCGAAGAGGATCAACGTGATGGTGAATAGCGGAATGGCGATGTCTTCGGGAATCGCATTGTCGGTAGCTTCCGCTGATCCTGCTGTGACTCGGTCTTGCTTTCCTCCTCGATGAAAGTTTAGCCCTCCGTCTCCCTTAATATCCACCTCATGTGGCATAGTTCTCAGCTTCTTGAACACACCCCATTGTTTTCTTGTTCTTCCAGACACTCATTTTCGTACTCAGTATGATTTACCTGGAAATCTCCGGAACGTGAGATTTCTCGTCGCACTACAGGCGCCGTAGGAAGCGTGCGATCAATGACAAAGGAGGGCTCGGGTGTAGAGATGGCTGTAAAATGAACGTGGAATCCCAACGTGGGTGCTAACTTCTACCTAGAGCAACAAACACCACGCTATTGCCTGTTGGTGGGCCACCTCTGGGAGTTGTATTGGTTCACGAGCAACGCCGTCCCTTCGCTCTAATTTCCACCATCATAATTCTCTATTTGTGCAGTTATTGACCTCCGGGGAATAGGCGATTCCGGTGATAAGCTGAGTATGGAGCATATGCATGAAGGTCTGTTTTTGGATGCGTGATGTTCTCGTTGGTGGTTTCTGAGAGTATACATTGAAGGCGAAACTTCGTATGGATTCCCGTCGTATCGATACCCTACGTCAAAGCCTAAGCAAGGCGCGTCTGACAAAGTATTAACAATGGCTCTTTCACGCGTTGACCTTCATACTATCCAAAGTCGGAGATTTCAATCCTGGGCTTCTGCTCTGTCGAATCTAGCCGGTATGGTATTTTTGTCTTCACTGTGCTCTTCTTCGCACTAAGGTTCCTTTGGTTTATTCCTCTCAGGACGCGTACTTGGGTTGCCAAACCTTCCGCGGAGGCGGACCACTGAAGACATATTGCGCTCTTTCCTGCACCATTTTGACACCATTCAGTTGCCATCCGTCGAGGATGCTGCACTCGAAGATCCTTGTATCAAAGAGGCTGAACGTCGAGGATATGCCCTCGATGCGCTTAAGCCGTACCTAACGGTTGGGCTTAACATCACGGCTTCGGCATACCACCATCTAGTCAATGTCGACGTCAAAGTCTACATCGTCTTTTTTACCGCGTTCGCTACATACTTCGACGATGTCTACCCTGATGACCCTGACGCCCTCATAGGTGTTCCTAATTTTACCAAGGTGAATATCGATAGGTCTACTTGCAATGTATTCCACTTACAAGCGATTCCTTCAACAGCACTTTGCTTCCTCGGAGAAGCAGCCAACCAAGATGCTAGACGACTTTGCTAACGTCTTAGCAGAGACCCCTCAGCTCTTTGGCGATGTCGCAGCTGATTTTATTGTCCAAGCGGGCCTCAGGTTCATTACTGCCCTGATTTTAGAGATACGCAGTAAATCTGAACCGGCGAGTAACCATCATCCTCGCATTTGGCTTTCTTACTTACCGAAGATCGCAGACTCATAAAGTTGACTGATACGCCGTATTTCTTCGCGAGCTCAGTGGAATCGCTGAAGCCTACACCATGTTTATGTTCCCCAAAGACCTACCGTATAACCTATACGTCCAAGCTCTTCCCCTCCTTCGTGACGTCATCAACTTCACAAACGACATCACCTCATTCTATAAGGAGGAATGCGAAGGTGAAACGCACAATCTCATATCTCTCTTGGCTGAAGCTCGCGCAGAGCCAAAGAGCCAGGCACTTTGCTATGTGGCAGAACGGTGCATCCAGGCGCACGAGAGGGTCTTGTGTATCTTGTCACCGCACCAAGAAGTGCGAAGCTCGTACGAAATTTTCGTTAAAGGGTATTTGGCGTTCTATCTGGGTGCAAAGAGATACAGGCTTAGCGAGTTGAACCTGTAGCGTGGCATTCAATCAATGTGTGTGTTCAAGATTTTGGTGCGATGTCTGAGTTACGCCAAATTGGGGCCTCCAAATCGAGCAAGTTCTAATATTCCCATTCGGAGAAATAATTAGGTCGTATTTGATGCCTGTGAACAGGTCTCTGTATGGGGATGGTCATTGCCGCGTATTGACGGGTATGAGTGTAGGATCAATGTGATGATTGCCGCCGGATGAGGACGATAGATCTCCATACACTGCTCGCCCGGTGCCGAGGCCTGGAAAAAACGTGAAGGTATCGCAAACATCTACTTACTATGAATCTTTAACGTGACGGTAATTCGAACTCTCAAATAAATAAAAGAATGTGTTTAAGGTCTGGCCCAGTTTATCCACATCCATAAAATTCGGAGCTATATTCCTTCCACCTACTACTTAAGTTCTAACCCTCCACTGACTGCCATCTTTCTCCGGGTACAAACAAAAAAAGGCGTTCAAAGACGCCACAACGACATCGGTCAATATCTTCGCAACGGTGTTGAAGCGATCCCGTGTTCGCGCCAAATTCTTTGCGTAGAATTTGCGTAATTTTTTCCACCTCAGCCGGGAACATCTGATGGTATCAAAGACTGCGGAAATAAATACAAGGGATCAATACCACGGCCCCATTAAGAAACTGAACTTGAGCATGTAGGAATGTGCAACCCCTTTTCGGCTGTATCCAGCTCAATGCATTTTCTTAGTGGTACCGCATTAAGCTCCTTCCTCTTGAGGATCTCTCATGATGATGATTAACATCAATGGAACACGGCGATCAAGGATAACAGGAACGAACTCGACGACTGTTTCATCGTCCATTATCAATCTTGTCTGTATCTAGTACCGGCGCCTGTATTGTTTGGCCAACTCGTAAGGTCGATTATCTTCATTATTTGTGCACCCTTTAAATCTCCGGACCGTAACTTCGACGACGACGATACCTTGGAGCAATCCCATATGGTGCCACCCAGATTTGGTTCTCAGTGTGGTATATAGTTCGCCATATAGGATGACAAGCACTATCCCACAGTATTCCCATGACGTTGTCTGCTGCGACTGATGCAAATCCTTTTATTAAATTTCGAGGAGTTCGGTTGTACAGATCTGTTATTGACAGTCTTACCAGTACGGGTTTCTCACGTTCTATGTCTCCATGGGCTTATCGGGCTTTCTTAGCTCGACTGCTACCTTGTGTGCGCCAATACACTTCGGATGCTCAATGTTGACTGACTCCAAGCTTACAGAGTTCGAAGAATTGGGAAGAAGTCTGGGGCATCCTGAGGCTTTTCATGCGTCATTTTGACACCACACTTTTACCATCCGTCACGGACCCCGTACTCGAGGCCCTCACATTCAAAGAAGCAGAGCGCCGTAAATATCCTATCGATGAGCTGAAGACTTACTTTATACTTGGCGTCAAAATTCTATCGTTTCTACATATCACTACCTTGACGACATGGACGTCAAGTTCTTCCACATGTTCATGTTATATCTCGATGATGTCTATCCCCTTGACTCTAATGTCCAGGAGGGGGTCACTGAATTCACCAAGGTGGATATCGTTCTGATTCATGCTGAATCAGAATATTTTGCGGAATAATAGCACTTCACGTCCGACTCGGAGACACAGTCAATCGAAATCCTGAAATACTTTGCTGATCTCCTTACTGAATCTTACCGAATCTTTGGAAAGGTCACTGCTGACCTCGTTGTTCACAACGCCCTCAAGTTCCTTAGCGGTCTGATTTTGGAAGTTGAGAGCAAGAACGAGCCTGTCAGCCTTGATTCTGCTTTTGCTGTTCAGTCCACACTCACCAGGTTGTCCAGACCCATCAAGTCGAAGAATACGCCTTGTATCTTCGCCAATTAAGCGGATTCGGTGAAGACGCCGCCATATTCGTTTTCCCTAGAGAGCTTCCTTATAAATGGTATATCCAAGCTCTTCCCTCTATACATGATTTCATCAATTTCGGGAACGACGTTCTGTCATTCTACAAAGAGGAATGCGCCGGCGAGACACATACTGTACTATTACGACCGGATATTCACATAATGCATAACAACCCCCCGTGAAGTGAATATCTGTGAACTTCGTAACACGTAACAGGCCTTTTGGTGCCTTAAAATACTCAATATAGCAATATTTTTTCGGTCCGGCTAACGCCGGACTGCCTATTAAGGTGAATGACATCATAATGAAGATGTGCATAACGCGTAACACCCTGTGAAGATCCGGTCGTAATAGTACAGTAATCTCATATCACTCTTGGCTAAGGCTCGGGCGGAGCCAAAGACTAGGACTCTCCGTTATCTGGTGGAGTAGTGCATTGATGCGTATGATAGGAGCTTGCATTTGCTGGGGCTGCATGAAGAAGCTCGCAAGGTGTCCGAAGATTTAGGAAGGGGATATCTAGCCTTTCATCTGGGTATAGAGAGATATCAACTTAGCAAGCTAAACATGTAGCCCTGTACGAGTCCTCACTAGTATCAACATGGAGGGCCGCTCAGTGAAAGGCCTCGTAATGGTAAATGTGCCTCACTAAAAAATGCTATTGTTACACTTTGGCTATGCTTGATACGCGAAAATAAATTCTGCGACACCTAAATAAGGCCCGGCAACAGGACCTAGGAGAAGGTTAGCTTTGGTTAGCTTATGAGATGAAGTAGGGCTGCGCGCCGTCACCGTATTATACGGTTTTCGGTAACCGTTATACGGAATACGAACCGAAGCCGAACGCACCCCAATGACCATTTGTACGGTACGGTGTACGGTTGTTCCGTCACCGTCAAGACCTCTCACAGACGGCCGTACAATGTCGTAATACGGCTTATTGCTTAATCTTACTTTTGACTCAGCCAAGAGTCCTTTTTAGGGTAAGTCTATGACACAAAATAGCCATCATTCAATTTCGTAGCTTTATTAACTTGCTCTTTTAGCTGTCTTGTCAATTTTTCATACACATTCAAGACAATATACATGACTTTATTTTAAGTCTTCGATATCTCTAGCCCTGCTCAATGCGGCATAGCTGATTATAAAACCAGGTGCATTTTACAGATTTTTGGCAATCTTAAAGGCATCTGACTAACTTCTTTATGAGCAAATCAATTTCATACTCAGGTGCACGGTCGTCAACGACCGTAGACGGCCGTAAGGTACCCGTACCGACGCCGACAAGGCATTCAAACTGATCATACGGCACGGTATACGGATAGTTCCGTGACCGTCTGGGACATTGGCTTTACGGCCATATACCGTATACGGTACGGTGCGCAGCCCTAAGATGAAGCAATTCCAATACCAGAACGACGCCAAAATGAAGGTATCATCTCGGAGTGAGTAGCGGAGTTACGATAAAATCGGTTTGGTCTGTATTCTGTCTGTATCACTGATATATGGTGATACCGACTTCGATCCGAACTGAACTGTCGACGGTTACGGCGCCTGGGGGGCACACCAGGCCGTTATAAGCGTCTAAGTCTAAGTCTAACGAATGCATCTGGATACATGAAGATGAATGTCACTCCACGGAGTCCTCCCCTCCTGCTATCCTGACTCGAGAAAACCGTATTAGATCAAGAAACCGAGTGGCAAACGATAAGACGCCAACTGTATTTTCTTTCCGTATCAGACGATCGTGACGAGGAAAATGAGTGCGATGTTCTCTTCTCTTGTCCGGAACATTCATGCTCGCTTCGGGTAACTTTGACCCTTCGGTCGAGACGAATGATGAATACCAGAACCTCCAACTGGGGTATTGAACCTAGGAAGGTCACCAGATCACCAAATAGTTGATTCAGCACCTTCTTGTCGGTGCAATTTTTTGCAAAGTAAATTGAAACATGAAACAATTTGATAAGGCGAAATGACGGGTAAGAATTCGTAAGGAAAGCAAAGTTGGTGAGCAAGATCAGAGGCGGTAACCCGAAGGTCAGAAGACCGAGAAGACAGATAATTGATCGCCCAGTGCTGCCATGTTTTGAGTTGCTCTAACCAAGAGAAGTCGCACTAGCCACAGTGATCGGTGGTGTTCTGATATTAAGAGATATCAGAACGTATCAGTCGGAGCTCTCGCGCATAGGTAAAACGTTCCAAAGCAGAAGGATGGAGCTCTAGGTTGGAGTCTCCAGATGCGTAACCCTTGATTTGTTGTATGGGAGAGAACAATACTCATAAGTCTACCCTGTTGGATCCACGTTTACCCGGAGGTGTTGGTGTTGGTGTTGCAAATCGAAAGGCATTACAGGAAACTACGTCACTAGATAAGCGAATCGGAGCAAGTGAGCGCGCGTTTGCTGGAGGGCTTGTTTACATTGTTAGTATTGCATCTAACATCTGCATTACATTTCATTCTTCAAGAACGAGTCTAACTGATTCAATACCGGCGAAATAATACCGTTGGAATGAGGGTTTGCAAACACACCGATATCTTTGATGGTTTTGAACGGTTTATCTCCGAGAACCGTAGCGTCGATGGATTCGGAGTTTGCCGTAATATCACGTTACTTCTTATCCTTTGTAAGCAGCATTCGTAGACCTTGACAGCCAAGATAATTAAATCCGAGTCCTTTAATCATTCACCCTTCTACTACAACCTTGGAAGCGGTCACCGACTCAGAAAGGGTTGAATTAAGTAAATAGATGGCCCGGCGCTAGGCTCCTTGCGAGGGAGGATTACATATGCACGTTCGCGTTCAGACCAACTTTTCGGGCTGCCTGCCTTACTACTGTCCAAGGTCTAAGTATAGGGTCGCGGTATGTGCGGCTGTTGCCAATAGAATCTGTACAGCTCACAAAGTCTATGATACGCAGGCTTCGGTGTTATCGTGAGCGTTCCGACACTCACGTCAACGAATACACTACTAGGTGTTCATCCTTTTGAATTGTAGTCTGTTTCCCAGAGCTGTCAATCTTAAATTGCAATCAATATCGTCCTTAGCTTAATCAGGCCTAGGTATCTCGGAGGTTTCATTGTTTTACATGTAATCCTATCTTGTTCTAATATAAGACATACAGTGACCGCTGGCTTATTACAAAGAACGAAGCTGATAGAAGTCCCCAAAATAGCGACGGGAAAATTCTTGATTATACTGCAGCCGCACTGCTGATTTATGAAAGAATTCTTTGGAATGGTGAAAGATATAATGAATGAAAGCCAAGACCGTAAATAAGGGTCTCTACGAGTCTGTTAGTGTTTGCCATTCCAATTTTTGGAAGTTCACCGGTTGAATCGTATCAAGGCACTTTGGTTTATAATGTCGTATTCTATAAAGGAATGTTAGGAACAACGGCAATCCAGACAAGCGGGTTTCACCTTGTTTCACGCTGATGTGATCGGGTCGGTCGAACGACGTTCCTGTTTTAATCCAAGTAAGCTCGTAGGGAACCATCCTTTTGCCTATGTTTACACATTCCTTGATCTCCGGTGAACAAACCAGTCCGGAAATTTCGATGGGCGTTGTCCCTGGTCTTCGTCACGTCATGTCCCATACGTGTAGAGAACACACTGATATATAATATGCTTTGCGACATTCGATGCCTCCAGTCTCCAGCCTTGGTCTATTCACGTCGAACAATGCAATCCGGAGCATCCACCCTCTCTCGTCTTTCCGGTGGGTTGTAACTCGTTAGCATGCCGCGTCTTTGCTCATTCGTTGTTTGTTTTATTCATTAGGCTCTGCACTTCATCCTGTGCGTCACTCAAATCAAGAGAAGGACATATATACTCAATTCTTCGTAGAAACCGAACACATCCTCAGAAGACATCCGTGATATTATACGGTCTTTCCTCCACAAGTTTGATACTACCGACTTGCCATCAGTCGAGGATGCTGCACTCGAGGATCTTTGTATCAAAGAGGCTGAACGTCGAGGATATGCCCTCGACGTCCTCAAGCCCAGCCTAATAGTCGGGCTCAACATCGCTGCTTCGGCGTACCACCATCTCGTTGATGTCAACGTCAAGGTGTACATTACCTTCTTCACCATGTTTTTAACATACTTCGATGATGCTTATCCTGATGACCCCGACATCCTCGTTGGAGTTCCTCGATTTACCAAGGTGAATAATGTTAACGGTAGTTGCATTGAGTTTTGCTAATTACTCCGGTGTAGTATTTCATGTCCTCGGAAAAGCAGCCAAGCAAGATGATGAACGACCTTGCAAATCTGCTGGCAGAAACTTCTCAGCTCTTTGGCGAAGTCACTGCTGACTTGATTGTTCATGCAACCCTTAGGTTCATTACCGGATTGGTTTTAGAAACTCGGAGCAAATATGAACCTGTAAGGATTATTTTCAATGTGCTATCGTCCAATCTACTCACTGAAAATGTCAGACGCACAGGGTTGATAAATACGCAATGTTTCTCCGTGAGATAAGCGGGATCCCTGACGCCTACGCCATGTTCATATTCCCCGCTGATCTGCCATACGATGTATACATCCAAAGTCTTCCTCTCCTCCGCGATGTCATCAACTTCATGAACGACATCACCTCGTTCTACAAGGAAGAGTGTGAAGGGGAAACGCACAACCTCATATCGCTGTTGGCTGAAGCCAACGGCAAGCCAAAGAGTAGGACTCTTCGTTATGTGGTTGAGAAGTGCATGGAGGCACATGAGAGAACGTTGCGTATCCTGTCACCCCACAAAGAAGCGCATAGGATATACCAGGAATTCGTGAAAGGGTACTTAGCATTTCATCTGGGTGCAAAGAGATATAGACTCGGCGAGTTGAATCTGTAGTCTGTTGTCCATAATATTACTTCGCGTTGACTGTAACTATGAGCTGGTAAAATCGAGATACGATACCAGAACGTTTTATGTTGTAAGGTGCTGTTGAATTACCGTTTACCTCTCAGCTTTTCTCATAGACCAGGCCTGCTAGCGCCGAAATGACAACACATGTGATGCCCGAAGTATTTGGTTGAGGGTTTGAGTGTAGGAGATTTCGTGTTGTCACCGGATGCGAATCGGCCCGCAAGACGTTGCCTCTAGTATAAATGCCTTAAATATGTGGAACTGAATAGAACTAACATTTTGATTATTTCTACACCGGCGGCTGTCTACAACATAGTACCTGGGTCTATGCCATAACAGGGATTGATAAACGTACCTGTCAAGTTTTAGTCTTTCTTCATTGAAAGCGCGGCAGCTCTAGATGGTATCTGGCAAAAGAGGTGCAAACCTGGGTCCGGGTAGGAAGTTGCTCTAAGAATATGTTTGCAGACATTGTAGAAAAGAGCGTTCGTCACGGTGCCGTGAGAGTTTTCCTTAATGTGATCCTTCGTTAATTCATATCTTAGACACATTGATTTTGTACTACTACGACATGAATGCAAAATCAAGTTGCGTTAGACCTCTTTCTCTTCCCAAACCTCCTCATTTGATATGAACCCAGCTGCAAAATGCACATAGTATACCTCGAGGTACGCACAAACTATGCATGGGGTACTCAGCGGTACGGGGAGCTACGTATCCTTGGCAGATGGGTACCGAGGCTACTGGATATACTGTCAGTACGTAGGCTTCGCACATAGCTACGTAGCATTTGCGTTTTTCCTGATGAATGTGAAATGGAAAGGTTCACCGTGGGAATGATTCTATTCAGTGATTGCCGGACCGGCACAGCCTCCCAGTATGAAATGCCGTGGGAAAAGCATCGTTCATCAAAAGCCTGGTAAGTACTTGCTGCTTTCATTCACCGGGTAATTCAGTATTACTGATGTTCCCCACTACTTACTACCTCGTCACCTCGTCGTCTCTTACTTAGCTCACATCCATTCCCCCCAATGACTGAGTACAGGTATGTTTGGTGTATATTCTTTGCTAACAAATATATCTTCCATGTTTTTGACCAAGCAGAGGCCCCAAAAACCGAGAAAAGTGTCAATAGCTCCCCCATCCACGCGTAAGCCCTCATACGAGGCAGCATTATCTCTTCCTCCAAATGAGGTAAATTAAAGTACTACCTCGCTCTCACTGCCACCACCATCGACGGCGACGACAATGCTCCCGATACCCACCGCTGCCACAAAGACGATCGCATTACCACCCCCGACATCACTACCGGGGTGAATCACTGTCAAAGGCGGCTTCCAAGCATATGGACGACCTTGCATTTACTCAAAGCTTCGGTATCAGCCTCCATCTCGCAGCGGGAGGGTGCATGGAGCACAAATCTGACGACGACGAGCAGAACAAGGTCAACGACGAAACGAGGAGCGGGGGGATTTTCAGAGTGACGAGATGATATGGTAGAGGGCTGGGAAAGGTTGTGGTATGGGGAGGAGAAGGCTGGAATGAGGGGTAGAACAGAGCTCGGGTCCCCAATTTCGAACGATCGCAGAGGCAACGAGTCTACTCCTCACAAGGCCTCTTCCCGTAAACGCTCACCTTCGTCTTCGTCCGTCACCATCGTGGGTCGTGGCTATGCCACCAATTAAGGAACCCGGATATTCCTCCCAGGATAGCGGTGGTTCTTTCGTGTCCAGCACTAGAGTTCGCACCATTCCCTCCCCGTTTGTGTCGTCCTCGACCACCATCATGACTGACAGGCTATATCAAACGGTGAGTTTTTTTTTCATGCATATATGAAACATTCGTCTCACCAATTTTATCTAGCCCGTACTCTGTCGATACCACTGTCACCAGCTATGTCGTTTGCTCTGTCCGGTCCAATACCCCCCACATCGAGATCGACGCTAATCGCAGCCGTATGCTACTTCCGTGCACTACGATAGTCCGGATAATCACCGGTGAATCAATATCGGCCGCCATCTCGGGGCAGGAGGTGTTATGAAACGCAAAATTAACCACCAAGAGGGCAACGCCGAGCAGGGCAACGATGACGATGACGGGAAAGGCGGAGAGAGTCCGAAAACAAAGGAGAAGCATGGTAGAGAACGGGGCAGGGCTATGGAACAGAGGAGAGGAGGCTGGGACGTGCAATCGGCACGAAGAGTACGGGCGAGCGGGCGGGGTGATGAGTAGGGCATCGACGTCCAACAACAACAGCGATAGCAACACCTCTTCGGGAGTCGACACTACTCCCATGTACACGACGGACAACACCAAAACGACGATGATGCGAGCACCGACGGCCCCGCCGCTGCGACCCCAGCCCAAAGTCAACATGGGCTCCTGCCGCCCGCCCCAGTCCCCAATGACCCCCACCTTCGTACATCCCCCATTTTCGACATAGGGGAACACATCCCTCAGATCGGTTTTACCTAACGACGACGACATCGCCGCCCATGGCCCGCCCACCCCGCATCTCGCATCTCGACTGTATCCCGCCCGTCCCATGCAAACCGTACGACTACTATCGGATCTGCACTCCCCTTTTCGACCCAGGAGAATCCAGTGGTGGTCTCTATTTTTCCTCGCGGTCTCGTGGTGATGCGTACCCATCCAGCCATCCTCCAGCCCATCCCCAGTGTATGCCGACTCGTGGCCTGGGCTATATCCAGCACAGGACAGCATGACCCTACACCCTACATGCCCGCCTGACATCACCGGGCAAGCGTATGCTACCCCCCAGCTCGTAATCCTGTGTCTATGTATATTATATCGTTTCTTTGCGCAAGTCATCTGTATGCTATTCTTATCATTTTCTGATGTATTTTGTAGCATTTAATTAATGACTGATGTTTTTCTGTATTTTTATTGCGATTTTTCAAAAATTTCGCGAGCGGGTCATTTTTTAGGGATGAAGTAATTCGTTTTCCGTAGTCCCCTCTTTCAGACAACCTGGTCGTTGACTTACCTAGCTGTCCAAGGCTTGGCGCCATACCGTCAGTCTTCTTTTCATTTTCCTTGTTTATTCATTGATGTTTCTTAGATTGGTCTTTGTACATTAATTTCATTTCGTACCCCAACATTAGGCTCTAACATCTTTCAGACTGCAACAGCGAACACTGGGGTCTTTTGAATAAGATGGTTCAAAGCCAGAAGTGCTTACTCTTATAGCCTCCTTGGATATAGAGGCTAAAGAGCTTTGTGTTATGTGTAATCATAGTATATAAGATGAATCGGATGGTCTATAGTCCTGCTATGAAATTATTGGCATTGAGGCAAAATGCGAGCTGGCGGCGAAGCCGCCGAGCGAGCTTTTTGCTGTAGATCCTGATCCAGCTTTGGTAATTTGTCGACTTGGTTTTGCTAAAATAAAAAAGAGAGAAGAGCATTGATGGGCACAAAAAAGGTGTATAGGACTCGGATCTGCCACACGTATGTGTATTAGGGTTCTCGCTAATGAATAATCGAATTCTGGGACGAGGGTGTACACTGACAGACAAATCTGAGTCATTTGTATCTAGAGTATCATCGAACTCTCCGGGCCCTTCGGGTAGGGTGTCATCGAGTGCAACGATAATCTTCGCTGTTGGACGTCGGACGCGCTTGGTGGGATCCACCGATTGCGATGGGTCTTCCACTGGTGCGTGTGTTTGAGGGTCAAAACGAAACATTGGCGCTGTTGTTGGTACCTTGATAGGCGGCTCGTATACATATGGTGTTGAATCTGGAACTTCTGACTCCTACAGCAAAATCTATGAGAAAGGACATAACATCAAAGTATGAACCGACATACGGGAACATCAGAGCTTGGCCCAGGATAAGGCTTGTCACCGGAACAACATTCTTGATGGTGGGATTGATGACCACGCTCGCGTTGGGCAAATCAAAGGCGTGCATCAGTGCTCAAATCGCCCTTCTGACGCTTTTCCCCCCCATATATTGGCTCCTCGCTTAGATAGATTTTTGGCTCGCGAGATGAGATAGGTGCATTTGCCTTCGTGGCGGGATAAATGGGCCTGTGTCACGTACTTTTGACCGCAACGACACCGAAGCATGATATCATCATAATCAGAGCCTTGTATGTCATCACGTCCTAGTTCAACGCATTAAAGAAAAAGCGAAATGCTATTTTAGAGAATACTTACGATGCTTTGAAGATCCTCCGACTAAGGACATCCCCAAGAGAAGAACAGATAAATCCGACACTCCCAAGTCCTTCAGAATTTCGTAGCTCTGAATCTCAGAGAGACGGGCGTGAGGGAAGATGAACTGGTGTCGAATGTGGGTGAGATCTGGTATGAGATGACGTCTCCGTAGCTCATGTGTAATGTCGCCAATAGAATGAAGGGGTGATACACCTAAAAGAGCACAGGTAAGTCGCAAAACTACAACGATGAACTATAATGGCTGACGAAGAAATGCCGGTCGCGTAAATGGTCCAAGCACAGCTATATGTATCCATTGTTCACGACCCCGCTTGCCAATGTCCTTCCGAGTCCCCTGACGCTCATGTGAAGGCAGACCTTTGACCAAAGTCTGGGTATAGAAAGTACGTAGCCGGTTTCGTATCACTGGAACGACCATAATCTATAAAAATACTTCAGAATGTCAAAGAGAAGAAAAACGCACTAATGAAGCCCAGGAGAAACACATATACTTCGAAGAGGAGCATTCCCAGGGAGCCCATTGTACTCAGAGACAGAGCAGCACCACGGCATCTCAAGAACGCGCACACAACGTCATATAACGCGAGGTAGCAGAGTGCAGGAACACTAAGGTAGCAAGAAGTCTGTTTGTTAAAGGTCCTGCGAATATCCCGTTTGCGACGAGCTCTTTGCTGATAAAGGCGTTGGCGTCGTACATCCAAAAGCCGTTGAAACGACTTGGAATGCGTTGGTTTAACGTGTGATGTGGCACCATCATGATCGCGTTCATCTTGCTGAAGCACCATCTTGATTGATAGTTGTAAAGCTGCAGATGCTGGGGTTCATTTATAGTGCCACGCGGCGGGGCAATGCCAGTGGCAGAGACAGGTCGTCCAGCGTTGCTATATTCTGGTAGCATAATAGTGAGAGGGCAATAACCTATTGTAACGTCCACGACTATTGTGGGGGATTATGTCTCGGTGGCAAATAGGTCATATGACACAAGATGATTGTATCGATTAGAAGCCGAGTATCGGCACTGATAAGATAATACAAATATGGTACAGATGACGACCGTTGGGGGTTTTTGCTGATGTAGGCTCCTGGCAGTACAACACAGTATCGCAGAAGAAAGAAAGTACTCTTTGGGGAAGACGTTGCGACATGGCCTGGATTCGCTCGACACTGTCAGGACCTTTGGAAAGAATCGCCGATCGGTGTGAGTTTTCGCTTGTTACCTTCTTTTTCTATCAAGCCATGCTTTGCTCCTTTACAGTCTGGTCTCTCCGCTGTTCTCCATTGGAGGTTGCCAGAGATAGAACTGTGCTTGAAAGATGCGCGCTCTTCAAATGGTTCGGGCCGAGCGCTACTCGCTGATGACCCTGTCATCAAGCTTCCTGACGGGGAACATTTTTCAGGCACTCAGAGTCATGTTCGTCAAGAAATGCCGAGTCAGCCGAATTGCGAGGACGTTTTACACCTGTATCCAAATCAGCTCAACATCGCTCTCTGTAAACCTCCCACTAGGCTTCCTCCTTGAGCCTTGCAACCTTTTCCGTCTGTGATGTGGTCTGGCAAGCGCGATGTCATCAATGCAGAAGAAACGACGCTCGTTTTTGAAACGTCTGATCCCCTGGATCTTGTTTCCACGTTCTAAAGCTGTAACGGCCTCTCCCAATGTTGCAGTCCCTGTCCAATCTATCCCTATACCTTCAGTCGCCAACGGGCGTATCGATACAATAGGCCATGTTCATCCAAGAACGCTTTTATCAATTGTGTGGCATAGAGGTATTCTTCTTCCATTTTCAAATCCTTCAGACCTGGGCCTGATCCCTAAGTTCAGGTGCCACAGATGCCATAGTGCCACGACGTACATTACTGCAAGCATTTGTACATCCCTTGAAGATTCTCGAGAAGACGGCGGAAGGTATTCCAGTTCCAGGGTTAAAAGGTGTAGTGGCTGCGCTTGTTGCGATTGTCGACATTATTCAGGCAAGTCCATTATACGTTATACTCCAGTTACCGATGGCACTGACATCGAGCGCCAGGAAACTGATCAAAACAAGCGGGATCTTCAAGAGATTGTTGATATGATTGAAGCGCTTGATTATCTTCTATCCCCTTTCAAAACCCTACCAGACAGGAAGATGGAGATCCCCATGGCCTTGAAAGAACACATTGAAGGCTTTCAAACGTTTGTCGTCTCTGCAATAACCGACATCTCCCGGTTGCTCATTGCCAACCAGCTCCCTTGCTTCAGTAGAAGACACATGTCGAAACCTCCAAAACAGCACTCTTATTGACGGGCTTCTCTACTCATCCGAAGATAAGCAGATCATAGTGGGTATATTCCGGCGACTGAGGTCCTTGTTGACAAGTTTGACGGTAAGCAAAAGCACTCTTCTTGCAAGTTCGAATCACTGACACGTGGAAGGCCGGATCCGTGCTTCGTATTGAAGTCAACACCTCGGTGAGTCTAAACCCTTCAAGAATTATGGTCTCTCACGGATTCCGGTCAGAGTATACATGCAGATGGTGAGCCCATCACGCCATGAGCGACATGTCTTGACAAATCACCAGTACATTCATTAATTATCAACGCTATTCCGCGTTCCCAAGCTGCGCGCTGGCGGAATGGAGCACCAGGCGAGTGCTTAGAGGGTACACGAACTGCGATTTTGGAGGACATAATGACCTGGATACTGAATGAGTCCGACACGCGCTGCGTTTGTTGGTTAAACAGCGTTGCTGGTGCGGGCAAGAGTACCGTGGCAAGGAGCGTCGCGCATTGGGCTGCGGACAGAGGCATCCTTGGGGGAAGCTTCTTTTGCTCCAGGAATGACTCGCAGCAAAAAGGATGCGAAACTTATTATTCCTACCATCGCTTTTCACCTCTCTGAACTCGATATGGGCTTTCGCCGGGAACTCGTTTCGGTTGTGCGGCACTGGGACGGTATTGATTTGGAAATGCCATCTCAGCAGCTGGAGAAGCTGGTGATCAAGCCATTGCGAAACACTGGCCGTTGTTCCGGACCGCTTTTTGCTTATTGTTGATGCGCTGGATGAATGCACGAATGAGATTGCTCGTCGCGAGCTGATTTCGGGCTTTCTATCCATCACCCCTGATTTCCAAACTTTGAGGATCTTGTTAACTAGCCGCCCTGAAATTCCCGGAACGTGAAACTTTCCAGTCGATTTCAACTGATAGATGGAAAGATATCATCCTGCATCGCATAGACAGGCGCTCAGTCGACGCTGACATACGAATGTACCTTCACGCCAAATTGACTACCCTCGCCCCAAGCCCTCCCATCTCTGGTGATCCAGCGATGACTAATAGTTGGCCCCCAGAACATCTCTTAGATCAGCTCGTCCAGAAATCTGCTGGATTGTTCATATTCGCGACAACCGTATGCAGATTCATCGAATCTCCAGGTGACAGAGCAGAACAGTTAATTCAGATTGCCAGTGCCTCCGAAAGCCATAACGAAGGGGAATATGGTTTAGACCATCTTTATCGAAGGACCATATCCTCTGCTATCGAAAAGCTTCCCGATTCAAAAGTCAACAATCTTCGGACAGTATTAGGCACTGTCATCCTTTTACAGGAGCCGATGACGCTGCGTAGTATCTGCCTTTTACTAAAAGTGACCCAAAACCATGTGGAAGGAATGCTTTCTCCCTTTCATTCTGTTATTGTCGTTCCCTCAGACGACCGTGACTTTGTCCGTCTCTTTCACTCTTCTTTCAGAGACTTTCTCACGTCGAACACTCGCTGTTCAAACAAATGTGAAGTGGAATGGTGCATGAACAGCCGACACTGTGCACACACTAAACTCTTTGTCTCACGTCTTCGGGTTCGACCTGCTCAGAATCACCTCACCATATGTTTCCGACTTCTTGATCTGATGAATAACGCATTTTCTGTTCCGCACGGGAATATGTCCGGCGACAAAGCTGTCGCTTCGATCACCTATCGTGAAGAGGACATTCTGAGATATGCGTGTCTTCATTGGTCTGATCATCTTTCATTCGTTTCCACGCACAATGCGGCAGAGGTCCGGATTGTGGTAGACCTTCTCAACTCTTTCCTCTGCGAGAAAGGCGATGCGTGGCTCTCCTACATGGGCAAAGACGCTAGCACCTTCAAAATCGGAGTACAATCGTTAGACACAGTAGACGAATGTGTTGCAGTATGTGTCTCTTGCCTGCAGCTCTGTTAGCAGATACTCACCGTGGCTGAATAGAAGCTGTCGGGTCAATCCAAGCTTCACGGCTGGATAGCAACTGCGCGAACTAACCTGACGGCAGTGGCTCTGCTAGGAAATCTGACTTGATATCTCTCGTCAAACAACGGAATCGTCTTCCTAGCTCTATGTCGCGTAAATGCATCCCTTGTTTAAAACATTCCGACAAGCAGCGTCGGAGGTCAGCTTTGGATTGCGACTGTGACTCTCGTCCGGATATTTATATGTTACGGGAAGCATTTTTGCATCTTTAAACAACCTTTTTAACGAGATGCCCATGAAAGAGAAGCACCTGGAGTGCCTCCTAAGAGCACCGAAGGACAGCTTAGGGCAATGGAATTGTCTCCTCATCTTATATTCGATGTTTCGAACATTTGCAGGACATATATACTTCACCTGCTACTCCCTGAGGGAATAAGGTAAACACGTTAGTAAATCCGTGTGAGAACCCAAACGGCGACTGCCATGAGAAGCTCGAGACCTCACATGGAGGTAAAGCTGTAGGCCTTCTCATTGTTGGACAAACCGCGCGGAAGTCAATTCCGTGCTTCCGATTAGCTGGCCTGCCAAAGTCTATCTCTACAATGCAGCTCAATCATCGTCAGTGAGAAGCATTAATGAACTATGCAGAAAGCATCTATAGTGAGGAATCGACTAAAAGGCCGATGTTCAATCAGAAGGCAATTGGCTACACAGTACTCACCGAGGATTTACAGCTAATTGATTGTCGCTGTAGACAGTGGCGGAGTTGGCAAGGCCAAACAAACAAACAACACTTTCTCCTCCTTCCTCCTCCTCCTCCTCCTCCTCCAACTCTCCGCATGCCATATTGACTTTCGACCTTACTAAAATACAGTACCACCTCACTCGGTTCTTATCATTATCATACGAGGATGCCGATTGACCGGCTACGCGGAGACCTCTTGTTCCCTAATGGCATTGGACAGGATATTAGAACCAGGCGAAAGATGCTGCGCGTAACATGAGGATAAAGACGGCATCACATTACTTGCAAGATTGCCGTACTGCGAGACGGTCCGAACTTGGAGTGATTCAGCGGTACAAAGGTTTGTAATGATCTTGGTGGTGTCGTGCACACCATCTTGACATAGAAATTACAGGTAACATGAACTGCGAGCTTAATCAGAGAGAAAGTACATTCACCTCTGATGATATTTAATCCCCTCGGTGCTTATATGTCAAGAATCAAGAAGGGCTACGCGGCACCCTTACGTTGTGTCCGAAACCCCCCAAGGAGGCGGCCAGCTACCGAAATTTGTGACGTAAAGGAAGACCGCCAGGATGTTTCGAAGGGAAAGAAGAAAAAAAGCTACCCAAGCTACTTCATCTTTCAGTATTGGTCCACAGACGTCGTCGTATGGCGTCCTCGGCATTCAGATTGCCGGAGCCGGTCATGTTCTGTCATGTTCACCATATTCTACCCGGTGTCTCTCCTTCCTTCTAGCCTTCACCATCACAGCCAGCGAACGGACTACATGGCCTCAAATAATCGTCTCTCCCAAATTTCAGGCCACCTCAGCAATACACACAGCCGAGGTCTCTTGGCGAATGAGGTCGCCATCATTACTGGTGTGTGACTTCGGCAATTGTCAATACTCGCAGCTAATCCTAATCAAACTTTCAGGCGCCGGTCAAGGCATCGGACGTAGTGCAGCACTCCTCTTCGCCAAAGAGGGTGCCAAAGTCGTCATCAGCGACATCGACGCAACAAAACTCATCTCCGTGGCCGCCGAAATTGAGGCACTCGCAGGCTCCGGGAATGTCCTTTCAGTAGCAGGCGACGTCGGTGCAGATGACTTTCCGAAAAAGATCGTTGATGCTACAGTCAAGTGTGTGTCCGCTCTAATTTGTCTTGAGTAGCGTGGCTCATTTCTGATCTAGGGCATTTGGAAAAATCAACCACATCGTCAATAATGCTGGGTTCACATTTGACAAGATGCTTCATACTACCCCCGACGAAGCGTTCGACGTGATACTCAAGATTCACGTACGGGCACCTTTTAGACTGGTGAGGCAGGCAGCACCCTATTTCCGAGTGAAGGTAGGTAGTACGCCAATGCTTTACTTCCCAATATCTAACACTCAATCTTAGGGCTCCACAGAAAACCGCTCCATAATCAACGTTTCCTCTACTACTGGCCTCCACGGGAATGTCGGACAGGCAAACTATGCCGCAGCCAAGTCCGCGGTTATCGGTCTCACCAAGACCATCGCGAAGGAGTGGGGTCCGTTTGGTGTGCGCGCGAATACCATTGCGTTTCGGTTTGGTACATACGAGGTGTGTATCACAGACTTCGCAGAGATGTTATCTCGTTGAAATGGATACGCCCTAGATTGACGGCCGCGAAGGAAGCTGGAGCGACGATAGAGATTGATGGAAAAAAGGTTGCGTTGGGTGTACCCGGGGCTAAGGCATCTTCCTCCCCCGAGGAATATCCCCTCATTCCGCTTCGCCGCGGAGGGACGTCAGATGAAGCGGCTGCCTGCTATGTTATTGTGAGTATTTCCGTTTCCTCATTCCGGAATTGGATTCTTAGCGCTTGCAGCCTCGCCTCGCCACTCGCGTCCTATGTTTCAGGTCACACATTGGAAGTCACCGGAGGTGCTGGTATTTAGGAGAAAACAAAGCTCTGTATTATCAAGGTCTCTTCATTTCCTTTGAAGTCGTTTTGTCACCTGTAAGGTTAAACAATGACATTAGCACGCCTACCCATTCCTGTCGACAGCACAAAGAATCAGCCGTACCTCAGCATGTAAACGTTCAGATTCGCCAGGCGAAGGCCTATATGTCACCTTTCAGCTTCCAGAGTATGACGAGAAGGGCCGGCCCTATCCTCATGACTCATTGCCCACCTTTCCAAGCAAGTACTCTTAGCTTCTGCATGCATTACGTCCGGTGCCTAGGTCTCTAACACTGTGGTGCGGTGTACCAATGTCGGTGACCTCAAGTTGCGGAACAGCGCCCTTGTTCCCTTTGTCAAACAAGATCTACACCGACAGCTGTTTGTTACATTTTCCTGCAGAAATTACATCTGAATGTTCCCATCCAAAGATTCTATCAACGTAAGAGGGGCTTCGTAACTTAAACCAGGGCCGATGACTCGAGTTCGTTCCCCTTCCTGGACTTTGCAACCCATGGTGACCACCAAGGAAGGTCTCCAGACTCAAGGGGGAAGCGAAGCTCTTGCGCATTCTTCGAACACGATCTCGCAGCTCTGCCTACCCCGGTCATGGTCGCAATACAAACGCCATTCTCACCTTCAAAACGAAGCTGTCTTTTCTTTTCAGTCGTCCTGTCGAGATCATATCGCCACACAAGCCCCGTCTATTTCTGCGCCCATGTCCACGTTCGCAGCTCACTTGGAAGGATCTTTCCCCATTCTTCCAATGCGCCCTATTCAGTGTTACGTTAGCTTTGTGCTGCTCTGCTCATCCCGTGCCTCAGGCTTCCCTGTAATCTGACTTCTTCAGGTCGAGTTCTTTCCCCATAACAGTAACTGTATTGAAGCCTTCCCTCCCCATCGTATGCTCTTTCTCACTGACGAGATCCCGCAAAGGGTGATCAAATTTTCGTGGAGTCGTTGGAGTCGTTAGTAATATGTTATAATTATACAATAATTGGGGTATCAATAATGGCTAGCAGGAGTGAAAAGCGAAGTGCGAATAGAAAACCAAGAAAAGCTAACAGTACAACCAAATGATAAGTGAGTGAGTAAATCTAATATCTTCATAATCTCGTGGTGCCCACGACCAACCGTTCATTACCTTGTGCATTGTCGCAACGTTTAGCAATCCTCTCTGCAACAGCGACGGCGTCTTCTACCACCCCCCTCGAAGGTGAAGATCCTTCTGTATGTTTCAGTAGATCTTTACACAACTCAGTACGAAAATTCAAAGAAAAATCAGGCGGACAGACCTCTGTAAAACAACGCATATCGCGTAACTCTCTGCACTGGGAGGATGCCCCGATCCCTCAGTGTCTGAGTACTTTGACTAGTCCAAGCTGGGAGTGTGGGAAGGGATTTCCGCCATGTTCCCTTCATCCTCGAAGATACAGACCTTCTAGGAGAAGAAGGTAAGCAAGGACGCAGATATAGGTAGCGTTGAGCTCCTTTTCGGGGATATGGAAATAGGCGAGCTCCTGGAAGAGAAATCGCTAGATGTAGAGCTGCGCCAAAGATCTCTCGACGCGAGTGACAGCATTGTCGAACTTCTTTTGGGTTTGTTGTTCTCCGTAGTCGAATTCGGCAAGGACGGCAAGTCTTTCTCGGTTCCCCTAGGACCTTTTGACAACCGCCTCTGCCTCCTGACTTCACTTCCGTCGTCGAACCAGCCGCCAACTACGGCACACCACCCACTCAGTGCGTCTCCCATTTCTTCCTCCATCGCTACGAACGCGCCGGCTATCCCGGCGACCGACGGATCAGATTCCATTGCTCCGAGGAGAGCTTGAGAAACATCGATAAGTGCGATCAGCCGGGTATGCATGAGCAATGGTGAGGGATGCGAGGGCCATGGTACGCCTTCCTTCCTCCCCGTATGAATGTGGTGATGAACGTAGTAACTCAGTATAGGTGGTTGAGATAACGTCTCTCGGTCCTGAGAAGATCTCTTGTCGTAAACAATGCCATTAAACTGGACCTTCGTTCGGGCACACTGGAATTACATGTTCGTATCCATTTCATCATCATTGGCATAAGACTCGTATTCGAAGCTCGTGCACCGAGTGAGACTGAATACGGTTTCTGCGAATGCCTCATCGGTGATGGCATCGTCAGTCATGAGAGTCCACCTGCGCCGGCGTTTGAGTTCGAGCTCGTCTTCCTCGTCGTCTTCTGAGAAGCAAGCCAGATGAGGAAGAGGGGTGAGCATTTCTGCGAACAAGGGGAGGTCGGGGGCTGGGTGGAAAAGCTTCTTGGTCGTCATCATCGGAGCCCACGGTAAACATGCCTCGTCTCTATGGCATGCACATGAAGTTAATTTAATTGATTGGAACAGGGCTGGAACAGACTCACGGGAGAAAGAACGGGAGTACGCTGGACCAGTTTAAGCGGGGGAGAAGCTAGATGGGGGCACTGCTCTGGGATGCCTTGCGCCTCCGAAAGCTGAAGGAAAGTGTCGCCCGTCGCTTTGGAGGCGATGGGGAGCGCTAGTGTTTCAGCCGGCTTCTGTTTCGTCAATTTCCGCGACGGCATCGACGCCGTTCGCTTTGGTCGGATTAATGGCGTCGTCGACGAAGTTACTATACGAGGTCACCGTCTCTGGGCGCGAAGTCAGGGTGCTGGGAGCAGACAACGTACTAGCTACAGGACTTGAGACCGGGCTCCTCTGCGGCCTCGTGCTCGTCGAAGAGAACGAGTAGGGGAAATGGGAAAATGAAGGGGGTATGTCCGACACGAATGAAAAAGGCGATCCAGTCGGCGGTGGTTTTCTTAGCTTGTTCCTGGGCGGGCTGGGGGCTGGGTAGGGTGTCGATGGCGTGACGGGCTCGTGGGAGTGGGACGACGTTGAGGCAGTCGACAGGTCACCTGGATATATGAGCTCGGGAACGCCCATCGCAGCGACCGCCATGGCAGGAGGCAGGGTGGGTAGTAGACCGTGGGATCCGAGTGTTGCTAGCTCCCAACACTAGTAATAAATTTCGTAGTTTCAATGACGTCATTCGTGTCATTGCCCCTATACATGGTGCCTTCCATCTCCATGCATCACCTCCCATCATTCATCCTCAATAGTGCCTCTTCTCATCCATGCCTTGCCGCTTTCAAATTGTGGCGTAGCGGGTTGGTGTGATATTTGCCGTACCCACGGAAATAGCGGATTAAGCCTATACTTCATTTCCTTACTACTCCCGCCCCGACGACAGCAACCCGGGATTCTTTGCATTCTACCTGTCCTTCCACTCAACGGTCCTTTAATATCCCGATTTCGTTATCGAATCATGTAACTATCAGACCCACATCCACTGTTGGTGATAGGACCACTGTCAACTTCTCGTTGTCGAGGAAAGTTTCTTCATCATATGGCACTGCTTCCAAGCCACCTTTCTCATCACATCATGATCATCTTCGCCGGCTACTCATTCCAACTTTCATCGGATCGATAAACATAAACTTCGTCGTGGGCAAATAGACTCCGCCATTACGCTAATCGCGTCACCAAATACACCCTCTTCTCTGTTCTTCTCGTTCACTTTGCTCTTAAATAACAGCAACACTCCGGCGCAGTACGCTAAGAGCCACCCACCTTTCCGACCCTACGATTCGATGTTCCCGCCAGTCTCTACCCCACCGCCGCATCCTGTAACTCCGTACGAGTTGGAAGAGCGTCAGATGAGAATGGGGCGTACGACCCTCGGTAAGGATAATTAGAGGGCAATCATGCCAAGGATGCTACATTTGTACATCTTTCACGGACGTATGGCTTAACCTACACCGAAGTACGGCAATCAGCTTGAACTTACCCCAAAGCACCCTAACAACGTATTTTAAGTGCAACAACCGCAGTATGAAATTAATAACCTTACCTGTTTGCAGTACGGAGCACTGTGCATTGGGATCAACACCGAGAAAATGCGACTGCACACCTCTCACTATTTGCAACAGCCCACCTCGGTAACTTTCACTATCATCAATTCTGCCTATCACGGATCGCCACACCTCCTCCTCGTCAACTCTAAACAGCGAAATATCAAATTCCACCACGAGAACTGCTAGACATCTTCCATCATATTCTTGATCTCGCGTAGCGCTTAGGCCTCAAGTTCGCTGTTCTAGTCAAATGCGTCTGTTCGCCACACTTCTTCTCCAGCGTCCAACGACAGCAAATATGCTCGTGTCAGGAAACGTTGAAAACGCACCTCTCAATCTGTTTATTGCTTCCTTCATGGCGTAGGCGCGCGCGCGTACGTATTTAAACTCGTGTGCATCGGCGTACCACAGCAACATTGCAACAGTGCCTGAATGTTGGGATTGATAGAGAAGTGCATCGCCGGTATATCCAACGATCATGACGTTCGAAGATACGCTGTTCGCACAGAAACCAGAGAATTCCGTCAGACACTAGAATCGTGCCTCCTTGCTCTCGAGGCTTGGATGTTTCTTGATTTCCGGCGGCTTCTCTTTCCTTTGTAAAACAATCTGCTCTCTCCTATTCCTATTTTAGATGCCACATTCATCTTGCTTTCGTGCTCACATAAACCTGACATGGGGATTCAGGTCTTGATTATGCCTGAGCCGAAAATCACCCCGTATATGATCACCTGTCCAGCATTTGACAACGGTTAGTTACTGGACAGTGAACGACTTGTTCACTCTTGACTTAATATTGTGAATCTGTGTTTTTGTTCGTCTATTTCGTCAAAGTGTACTATCCGCAAGCCGGAGTAATAGAAAACACGCACAAAGACGGTGGTATTACAAACCACACCCATGGACGTAGATTCTAGTGAGACGACGAGAACATCCTATCAGTGCAACATAAGAAGAGAGAGCACAGAGACACACGCGAGTTCTTTTCCAGCTTCCAATCTAAACGGTTTCTCTGTCCCGCATCAGGGCTCGACCCCTTTCTTTGATTCTCGCGTACGCGCACACGAGTGCGCTTACGAAGTTCGAATTCGTAGGTAGACCTGGACGTACCACAGCATTACTAACGCGTCAACGATTGGTCAACCATCCTGCTCATTTTCTGCCTTAATGTTGAGGCGCATCTCAATCACGCGATTTGAGGCTCAAGGTCCGACGAGCTTCTTTTTTGCCTCCTTGGATTCGACTTCTCTCTACTAAGATACGCCGCTCAAAATCCCGCTGACTTTCTCGATATTATAAAGGCCTCACTAGAGTCGGAGTGCGATGTCATCGAGGAGTATCGCTATAAGGCCTTCCTTGCAACTTGTCGCCTGTAGGTGACCGTCCCCGTAATCGGTGAGTAGGTTTCGCCGGTCCTATTTCCCGTGCAAGCAGATTCCGGATGGGGATGTGAAGTTGTCTGGTCCTTCACGCCGTCGACAGACTAAGCAAGGGTGTCAGCAGGAGTAGGTTATACACGAACAACGCCCTCACCTTTCATTCCTGATATAGACATACAAAAACCTCAACCGTTGGATCGGAGATGACGAAAATTTCACTGGTTGCGGAAGCTTACGTCGGGCGGGGCGATGTCATTATGATGAAGGTACCGGGCTGTGCAGGGATGAGACAAAACGAGATGTCACATCAGGACAATTGCACGCACCTTTACGGTATATTGAGCACTAGGGGGCGCACGAGACTGGTCTCGACGTTTTCAACGGTTGAATACCTGCCAGTGCAGTGAGCCAGAGCTTAGCGTGGAGCTGGGGTCGCAGGCCCGTGATCAAGGAGGAATCGTGAAAAGGACAAGCTTAGATGGCGAGGTCCTGGCCTGTGTTTGGCGACTTTGAGTTCTTCCTTGTCGTACTGAATCTTATCGCCAAGACCATTTGCATTCATCCAACCCCTGCACAGCTGTGAACGGCATATCAAAGAGGACGGAGAAGGACGCTTACGGGACTTTAATAATCGTTGTCCAGCGTTTCAGAGGTTCCCTCTTGGGAGTAGTAGTCAAACAAGAGAATATAGGATGTTACGTCCGCTGAGATTGCATACTGATATTGGGGTCAGGAGGGGAGACTGAACGCATACATGCTATCGGTGATGTCGTCGACAAACAGAAGAGAGCTTTGGTATGCGTGCGGTGGAAAATGGTATTGTGAGACTCAGATTCAGCCTTTGAATGTATCCTGATTCTTGTGTTTGAATAGGACCTCGGCGACTGTGTATCGGGGACCTGTGTGGACGTTAAGGTAAAGATAGGTGGATAGTGGGGAGCATAATGGCGTACCGTTGTCAGTTGGTAAGCACCCCAGACGCATATAGTACGACGGCACAAGGGACACGACGACGGGTACAAGGGTCAGGGAGGAAGCAGAGATGATGGAGGAAGGTGAAGAAAGAAGTGTCGAGGGTGGTCCCGACTCCCGCGAATGTATGCACCTTTTATAGTTTGGTAGGAAGTAGTCCGTGCGCTTCATGTTGGCTGCGCGATCGCGATGACGCGATGACGTAGGAGGACGACGTGATGGCAATGAACGCGACGGATGAGGCGAGGGCGGGAGCAACCCCGTGGAAAACAACTTCAAACAAGACTGTCTCGTTTTGAACTCCGTCTGCTTGCCGAGTCACAGCCGACCACGTGCAAGCGCGTGCGACGCGAATCGGCAACGGATCGGCAAAGTTGTCCAAAAGTTGTCTGCTCAAAAAGTTTTCGAGGCGGCTCTCGAAGCGTTAGTAAGTATGTGGGACCTGACTACTTCTATTACCAGATGCCCATCGCTACTCTACTAATGGGATGTGAAGTTGAAGTAACTTCGCAATTAGACAGCACGCCACGAACGAGTCTTCTGGCCGCATCATTTCACTCCATCCGAGTCGCGTATCGCCACAGTCAACTCTACCACAATTTACAGGCCTCGAGTATCATGGCCGTTGATTGCAATTGACTCCTTTGCCACACTTCTTCCCGGCGTTTGCCACAAATATGCGTTCCTCAGGTCGTAACATGTAGAAAAGTTAAGCCAGTTCTCATTTGTGGGACCTTCATCCCATACGCACACGTATCGCAGTAGTGCAATGTGTTGACGATCAAAACCGCCCTGAGTTACTCCCATCTTGATGTCCTCATCGCTGTTTTGCTTTGGCCGATTTTGACTGCTAGAAAGACGATCGCGAAGCAGTCCGTCAATCACTAGAACCGTGGTTCCTCTCGATCTCTCTCAGTCGGAACTCGAGCTCCGGCGGCTTCCTTTTCCCCCAGCTTCCCCCTGATTCCGGCGACTTCTCTCTCCTACCAGTACGCCACTCAAAGTCCCACATTTGGTTTCATTCAAGCTGCACTTGTTGTCTGGTCGAGTCGGTATCGCTGGGGCTTGAACATCAATGGAAGATGCAGGACAGCGATAATCTGCATCATGGACAGGGCCGGTTTGGTAGATGACATCTCTCGGTTTAACCATAATTTCTCGTTCGTAATATAATCTACACCCTTTGTAGTTAAGGTGGGAACTAGTACATGCTTACAGTATGCGTGATTTGGCTAGCCTATCTGTTGTACTGTCCAGATACTCATCGCACTTTTAGAGGCCATAGCGTACGAGTTTGATTTAAGCCTGTAAGGACCTTGGATAGCCCTGACAAGAGAATTAACTTATTGAAGTAACGGAACCTCTACTAGAAATTTTGGTCTAAATTACGACTTCATCCGGCCCCAAGTAAGTTGGATCTGAACTTAGACATCCGCTGTTCTTCATATGTTCAAGTCTGACGGTGAAGAAAGCATGAAAACAATGGGTATCTTGATTATGCGTCATATAATACAGTATCTTAATAATTGATAAGTTAAAAGAAGGAAATTGTACTATATGCCAAGCTCGCTCAATCTGTATCTTTTCATACCCAAGTGAAGGGCCAGATACCCGTTCGTGAAATTCCTAAAAGCCTTGTGCGCCTCCCTGTGTGGCGACAAGATACGTAGGGTTCTCTCGTATGCCGTCAAGCACTGCCTCACCACGTAGCGGAGGACTTTGATCTTCGGTGAACCACGGGCTTGAGCCAGCAGAGATATGAAATTGTTGGTATCGCCGCTACACTCCTCTTTGTAGAAGGAGAGGATGTCGTTTGCGAAGTCGATGAAATCTCGCATGGAAGGGAGCGCCTGGATGTATAGGTGGTACGGGATGTCTCTGGGGAAGATAAACATGGCAAATGCTTCTGCGAGCCCGCATTGCTCCCGAAGAAATATAGCGTATTCTTCAATTCGATGCGTCTGTGAATCTCAATGAGCCAGTGTATTTGAGAGACATGGGTTGTATGAGTTACTCACCGGCTCGAACTTGCTTTGGACCTCTAAAATTAGGCCGGTAATAAACTTCAGAGCGGAGTGGACAATGAAGTCCGCAGTGACTTTGCCGAAGTGCTGAGAACTTTCGGTAAGAAGGTCGGCCAAGTCGTTCAGGATTTTGCTCGACTGCTTCTCTGATGATGTGAAGCGCTACATAGTATGATTAGCCTCCCAAATAAATTGCGATTAAAAGTATGTACTAACCCTGGTAAAATCGGGGACCCCACCCAATGCGTCTGAATCGTCGGGATAGACATCATCAAGGTATATCAAGAACATGCAGAAGAACGAGATGAACATCTTGACGTTGGTATCGTCGATGTAGTGATATGCGGCGGTGGTAATGTTCAGCCCCAATACCAGGTAAGGTTTAAGCACCTCGACCGAGTAACCGCGGCGCTCGGCCTCTACCAAACAGAGAGCCTGGAGCGACGGGTCCCAAATGGAGGGCAGATTGCTGGTGTCAAAGTGGTCCAGGAAGGACAATATCGTATTGCCAACTTGTTCCGATGCATGCCTCGGTTTCTGTAAGAAATGCTCAGGACTGTAAAATGATACATATACGAAAAAGGCGCACAAGAGCTAGCAGATGTCCTTTAAGAAAATCGTAAATGGGTGACGGGATCGACCAAGAACGTGGAGACACTTACCAGCAAGACTAGAAAGAGCCGACGTCCAGGAGGGCATGCCTCGACGTCGGATACAACGTTTAGTGCGTGTCGTCGAAGTAGACAAAGTCATTGTAAGTGTCAGAAGACGCCGTTGAGGATTCAGTGAAGAGGTCGAGCACTACAAGGTGCTTTATATACTTCTACGTCCCATTTTTGTCTAATATCCGAGATCAACGTCGCAAAGAAGATCTAGCAGAGCAGCATCTATACGCGGTTATCTCCGTTTCGTCTTTGAAATTCCGGGTTAGAGTGTCCCCAGAAAGAAAGGGAAAAACGTGAGACTGATGTCCGTGTAAGATAATGAGCAGTAGAAACGCAGGACGATAGCACTGCTTGAACCTTAAAGCCCGCCGGATTGATTTCCGATAATCAGGTGTAGTCGAAACAAGTTCCGTCTCTATAGAGTAACCAGCGCTATGGAGCGGTGTTCTCTCATTGTTGAGAGGTTAAATCGGCCCGAAGCACCGTCCTAATGTCGAGCGGCTTGCGGCCAAGAAGAAAATAAAGACCCATAGAGGCTTATACTGCGTCCGTATTTCCGCTCATAGATCCTGTGGCTAAGCGAAGCCATCAGGGACTGTCAGTTGCATATTGTTAGAAGAACGAGCGGGAGCAGTCGCTTATTTTCTCGTCTGTGCAGCGCGGGCACGTATGGGAAAGGCCGCCGTAACCCGTCTCTCTTCATTATCCATCGGAGGCCTCGACTGCTTAGTACTCACTCCGCATAGCCCCAGCAAATATCAGTGAATGAAACGAGCTCCTTATGGGTAAGCGCGTAAATCAAGGACTCGGGGGTACGCATTCCTAGTGCCTGAAATAAAACCAGTGTTTTGAGTTTCGCGCTCAATGAACTGACTCAACAACAGTGTTATGGGTATCTTCTTAGAGACCGACCCTGGACGCGGGGAGTAAGTATGTAGAAACTTCATCAGATACGTGGCAAATACTCAGAATAGTAGTTCAACAAACCATCACAGTACCGGATACAGTTTGTAAGCCGGGCAAAATCGGCGCCTCATCAACGCCAATAAATCATAATCCACATGTTGCAAAGAAGTGGCACGTTCGAAAGAGTTGAGACAGAGAATTTGAAGGTAATGAATGTCAGTACCAAGTCGATAATCGGTGCCAATCGGCAACTACACGTGGCCGGCCCTGAATGTACTTGTAACCAAATTAGACTTTTACATTAGGAAGACGACGCCCAGGAAATAACCGCCGGCCTCTCACGAGTCACATCTGCTCGGAATCGAAAGATTACCCGCCAAGTGCTGTTCTATTATTGTGGGGATGTCATAACACTCCTTTAGTATCTCCAACGCACACGGGCCGATACTAAAGGACTTGATATTGCAGCTCCTCAATATTCGATTCTGCGGTTTGTTGTAACCCGCGATCGGGCCGAGCTTTTAGCTCGAGCCCTAATTTGGTCGAGGGCGTACAATGTCATATTTTCCCTTCTGTTGCGGTACCGATGGGGCGGAAATTAGTTCATGTTCAAGAACACTGGTGATGATCTCTCCTACTAGATCGCCTTCATTTTCCATCTCATGACCCGCCTACTCCATTTGGCAGTTACTCCAATCACAGAAATTAAAGTATGAACTGTTCCTTTGGAAAGGACTCCCCAGACGGAATGTGCCACACGGACTCAGTAGTACCTATCGAATCCGCGGTACTCCCTCAGTTATGGTTAGCCACCCTGTTGTAAAATATGGGGTAAACAGCTCTCGCCCAGTATCACATGCTCGGTATTCAAGCCAATAGTATTGCGCTTGGTTGAGCCCTGCAAACGCATAAGGAGTACCTACTTTTATACTAAATATTATTTTACTAGAATGTTCCATGCTTTCCCTGCTACTTCTGCCTTGATAAGCAACTTTGGCATGATGCCGGATTGCCAAATTGCAACACACCCGAGGACTTATCATGATTAGTGAAATTCATAAATAGCGGGTCGGAAATCATTTATCATGATATATTAGGTATACCTAGGTATGAACCCAGTTGAATGGTATTGAAACTGACCGGCATCGTCCATTGCGGAAAAAACACAGTGGAAAACTGTAAAAATCAGCGCTTCGGCACTTAGAAGTGAATCAGTTCCACCCTTGATGCGATCATGTGACAGCTGCATTCTTGTGCAAACGCGTGAAGTTAACGAGACGATCCACCTGACGGATGCGTTTTCTTCTTGTTTAATGGTTATATCGGCATATGGAATCCTGGCACCAGGCTACTTAATCTACTAATTGTCGTGTAACCGTACGATGCAGAATTCTAAGAATTCTCGGAGTTGGCTGGGAGACGCTTAGCCAGCAAATTTTCTTTGCAGCCCTTGATCAAATTTCAGGTCTTACGGTGGAATAGGTAAAGCACTTTTCTGCGGAAATATGCGCTCAGACTCTCCGTCGAATATCAAGTAAGCCTAAGTGTTCTTGTCGCCATACATACCTGAACCAATGTTGCTGGGTGATCGTATTTTTCATTTCCCGTTAGTGGCCTAACTTCTTTCTGAGATTCATTTTGATGGCACACATTGACCGCCTGGTTATGACCAGGTCGACCAAATGCGTCACAAGGTCGGTTTCAGGGATCATCAAAATATCTCCGAGTCTGTGAGAACCCAGGCTTCTATCCAATATCCGAGTCTCCGATGGTAATCTTCTTTACCCTTCCTGAAGGCGTGACGGGGTTGTTCATAGAGACAGAACTTCTAGAACTTCCCAAGGCTGTTCAGTCGACAAAGCCCGAAATAATTGCTGCTGCAGGGATGAATGTCCATATATACATACGTACGGGCAGGATCATCGCTCCCCGCTTTCGGATTTGTGGCGCTGTACTAATTTAGTGGCTGCCACTATTATAAATAGACATGATTATCTAGTAGTTTCGATGAGTCTAGAAGAGGCTGGAACATTCATTAACGAGCTGATATCTACTTGTTATAGCGACAACGATAGCGTACGTGTCGTATTAAATGATGCAATGAAACAATGTCGGGGAAATCAGGCTTAGCACTCAAGTGTTTGTTGCCTGTCGTTCTTGAGGGGTACAACCCAAAAGGATGACACCATTGTACCAAGGAGCTTGGCAGATTATACGACGACTCAGTTGATTTGACGGAGAGGACCTGGGATAAATGGTCCCAAGTTCACGTGTTGTTGAACATTACTGCTGCGGCAGCCAGAGGTATTCTTGCAGGAGTTTGACAGCTCCGAATAGTTTCCGAAACGCATAACAGGCAGGGGTACCCAAATAATCATGGCCTAGCGTAGACTTCGTATATCTTATGAGTTCCAAACTCCGTCATGGAGACAAGAAAAGGGCTCCCTAAAATGAAGAAATCTATTGTCGCAGATGATTTGAAATATGTATGGCGAATCCGACAAACCCAAGCGCGTAGTAATTAATTAGCAACAGATACGCGTGACGTCATTGCATATAGCCTGTTACTCTCCGCAGTATGGTATTGCTTGCTTTCAACAATACCGGCGCGGAGCAAGCTGAGCCAGAGGATACGAGTCCCGGGCCATACGACTAGACTACGTGCGATTCTCCCGATATCGCACTCTTTGGTAACAAGTTGAAGTAGATTCTTCCGTTGACATCGAAGACTCGGAATGCAGTGGCAATTCTGCTGGAAATTGATGCCGATGAAAGCGGTGGATGTGGCACGGAATTAGGAAGTCATGAAGAGACTGGAAGTAGAGAGGCAGAGGGTATTGATACGAGCTTGGCACAGAGTCACGTAGATTCTGCTGCAGCAGATGCCAATGCGGCCTCCGGCGATGCGATTGCCTCTATCTCGCCACTTGACGTCCTTCCATCTCTTAATCATAAACACGGCTCCAGCACCCAAGATCACAATGGCCATGATTCAAGTAGTGTTGATAGAGACACAGAAATATGAGTCCGATTAGCGCTACACGGAGACAGCTGGCGAATTCAGAAGCAGAGAAGAGTGAGCCACCAAAACCGCTTCACCGTTCTGGAAAACAATCGATTTTTCCCTGACCAAGACCCTACAAATGGAGCCCACACAGACTCCTCCCTAGAAGGATTCAACACCACAATCACCAATTTCCCAGTAACGGGAGATAGAGAATTGGAGGTAGATGGTACCCGGAGCCGGGACAGATACTCTACCATCTGTACGTAAGGACATCGGAAGGGCCGAATCCTGCAAGGTACGAATGCTACAACGACCACACGGGACGCGACAATCGCTCGGAGGGAAGTTAATTTCTCCGCTTTCACCTAACCGCCATTGCTGTCGTGGGGCGATTGTTCTATCGAAGGGGCTGGAGTTTGACAGATAGAGAAGGTCAGTTCAAATGTCAATAGAATATGCTTGTTCTGGCCTTCATTTCGTTGAGCTACGTGGAGCGTATATTCGTGGTCGAACAGAAAGCACACCAATCAACCGTCGATCAAAACGACGGTAATCTCTCAATACTCAGTTCGTGTCCCTTAGACCGCAGTTTAGCAACAATAGGCCAACCATGGGGCCGCGACGACTCACAGGGTATCTGATATCAGGGGGGGTACGCTTTCTAAATCATAATGACGACCGTATTTCTGTGTGACAAAGTGCTACCCTTATGTTTCCACAAAAGACCACCATAAGTATTGTATGTCTTAAACGAGCTGTGATAAAGTGAACAAATATGGTCACGGTGACAAACTGGTGAGACGAACTTCCAAACAAGTCTTCATTCCTTCAAGTGGTCAGCGGAAGGAACGCGATTTCGTTGCTTCATTATTGTCGGAGATGCCCGTGGCAGTAGCCATTCCAAGTAGGAGAGCGGAGTTGTACAGGAGCCGGGTTGAATATAGACCATAACTTTGAGTGCCGACCGTGGTAAAGCAGGAATATCGGAATCACCCGCCGATATCTTCTACTCAAACGGTAGGTGGGTTTCTCCATCATAGAGCCAACATACCTGATAATTTTTTTTTCGTGCATCTGAACCCTGCTTTCCTTCAAAAACCTGTGTCGCAAGAGGGGATTACATTGTCAAAAGGCACTTGCATCCGGATCGGAGGACCTACTGACCGCGACTGCATGTATCTCATCAAAGTTACTCAAACGACACACATGCCTTGATCTGGAGTCCTGATAGACAAACGGAGCCTAGAAGCGTAGGACCTGTCGACGTTCAATGTTGAACATTGATGAATGTTGAATCTTGATGCAGGACCGTGGTCCCGAAAGCACGTGGTGGCACTGCCCGCACAGTCTTCACGTGAGAAGTTGAGAACCCGACGACGACGGGGACAATATCCTTGCCGCCTTCTTAATCTCTCCCGTCAATTGGCTGCACATCAGCCTACCTCGTCCTTATGACCCCCCGACACTGCTACCATGATCAACTACAATGGGTGAGAACGTTCCTGATACAGCCTGACTCGCCCCGGCACACTGAGCGCCGATGGTGGGAATTGAGAATCATGATTGTATGTCATC